TGAAGCGTCCAGGGGCCACATGGCGAGAGAGGACACTGACAGGTATGCCAGATCAGGCCGGGTGCACATCATGGCGTACATGAGGGACCCAACAAGCTCTGGTTATGGCTCAGTGCAGGCCTCTGGTGTAGGGACAGCTAGAGCGGTGAGGAGGTGCTGTAATGGCAGCGGGGTGGCCATGGGTGTGCAGAACTCCATCTCAAAGCGCTTGAGTACATTGTTGATGTAAAACGCTTGGGAGAGTGAGATGGTGCGAGCCTGACGATCACGAGTGATCTCCATCCCCAGGTAGTGCTTGAGGTCACCGAGGTCTTTCATCAGGAGAGCCTTGCTTGTTAGGAGGTGGAGGCGATCGTGGACTGTGGGATCTGTGAGGTGTGTGCGTGGCTGATGGATGGTGAGGGAAGCAGCAAGCTCAGCGTGGTGTCGCATGCCTGTGGGGTGGAGAGTCTGCCATTCCGCCTCCTCCACTATTTCCAGAGGTACAGGTTGTTCCTCCTCTGATTCTGCTTCCTCAGGTGCCTCTGCCACGTCTGCTTCCTTGTCTTCGCTGACTTTGGCTTTCCCCTTTTCTTTAGCTGTTGCTCAGCGTTGCTTTTCACCAGCTGACGGTCCTTCTTGATCAGCTGGCGCCTTCCCCTTGTCGTTTTTCTCCTCCGTGGTAGAGGCTGTTGGCGTGCGACAATTGTGGCAGAGGCCATCAGGCCCAGGTGCGTGTAGATTGATTTCTCTGGGGTGAGCATGATGCTTAACCCAGGGGCGACCGTCAGGGTGTGCGAGTTTGTAGGGCCAGACGATGCGCTGGGGTTGAAGATCAATGAGGTTGCCAGAGTCGGCGCGGCAGTCTGGGATGTCAAAGTCGAGGATGTAGACCCCATTTTCAGGGCATGCCTTGCCTATGTAGCGCAGCTCGCTGTCACTGGTGTTGTAGTCCTTCCAGTGCATTGGAATGCATCGGCTCTTTGGATCTATGCTCATGAAAACGCCGCTGTGAACGAGCTGCTCATAGGAGAGCAAGTTGTACTTAAGGTCCCGGACGATGAGTACGTCGTTGAGGGTGATGTGAATATCGTTGTCTTGTGCATTGAGCACAACGTTGCCGCACGTGCGCGCTTCAAGTTGCTAGCTTTTGGCCACTGTGACGACGGTGGGCTGTGAGATGGGACGTGTGCTGGAGATGAAGCACTTGGAACCAACCATGTGTTGCCCACAGCAGCTGTCAAGGTACCAAGTGTTGTATGTATCGGTGCGGTTCTTAGCCGAGAACGCGAGGTTGGGTGTGTTGCGGAAGGGGATGCGCTTGTCGCCGGCCCAGCAGTAGTTGTCACGGGACGAGTGTCGATGTAGTGGCCGTAGAAATAGCTGTCAATGGATGTTGAGTTGATGAAATCCTCGTCGTGTAGCGGTGATTCGAGCAGGGGGGTCGACAGGTCCCAGTCCTGTTCGTGCTCGTCAGAGACAAACTCCCCGTCCTGCGTGAAGGGGCTGTTGTAACTGGAGAATTCAACCTCACGACGGTGAACGTGCATCGCCATATTGCCAATGACGTGACGAACGTTGTTGGTGTATGGAATCCTGGGCGCCTCAGGCTGAGATGATTGTCGCGGGGCAAACCGATGGTCCGAAGACGGTCAGTTTGCATGGCGAGAGATATCGGGGCCGGAAAATGCGTTGTTACGCGGTGCGGAATCGTGTCGCGACCCGGATCGGCAGCGTTCCGTTGAGTGACCGAATATTTGCAATTTTTGCAGTAATATTGGCGTGGTCGTGAGTCGCGAGAGTCGCGAGGATCGCGAGGCCGTCGTTGATCGCGACCACAATAGAAGGCGATTTGCTCGCGTCGGGCCCCTTTTTCTTTGTCGAAATCCATGTCTTGTCGTTCGTGCAGGAGTGTGGCGCAGAGATGCGCTGGAGGGCAATAGTGACGAACATGTCCTCACGGTGCCTTGTTGTGGGAGTAAGTGTCAGTAGAGCTACACTGTGAGATCCCCGATCGATCCTAGGGGGGGTTACAGGCGCATTTGCCTGGGGGGTTATGGGCGCACTGACCCGCTACTGAAACAAGCCCTTTTATCCCAATGGTCTAGTGGTTGGGATTCTGACATGGTATCAGAGCGGTCTCGGGTTCGAATCCCGGTGTATGCACATGTTGGCCGTTGCCACTGTGCTCAGTCCTGGGCCTCCCAGTGTGGGGGGGTGTCAGTAGAGCTACACTGTGAGATCCCCGATCAATCCTAGGGGGGGTTACAGGCGCGTTTGCCTGGGGGGTTATGGGCGCACTGACCCGCTACTGAAACAAGCCCTTTTATCCCAATGGTCTAGTGGTTGGGATTCTGACAGTAAGGCTTTGCACGGGTTCCACTAAGGTCCTAAGCCTTGGAGGGCAATAGTGACGAACATTTCCTCAGGGATCGTGTTTCCTAACTTCTGCAGCTGATCGCGGATGTTCCAACATCGATTGATGTAGGCTTTTGCCTTTTCTCCTGGTGTCAGGTTGACTTCTAGGAGCTGTTGGAGAAGACGACTTGATGATACGGAGTCCTTCGGCTGATATGTTTTGACCAGGTAGCTCCAGGCGGTCGTGGCGAGGGCCGGATCGTTTTTGAATGGCCGTATGCCGAGTTGTTCGGCCCGCTACATGTTGCGGAGCAGGATACTGTACGCCATAAGCGATTCGTTGTAGTATTGGGCTTTTGCTTTGTTGTTGTCGCTTGTGGGGCCAGGGTAGCTTCCGTCGAAGAAACAGAAGATCTGAGCGATTTTGGAGGAGCAGTTTGAGCTCAAAACTCCACGTGTAGAAATTCCAACCGTTGAAGGCGGTGCTTGTACGAATCTTGGAGATAGCCAGAAACTTGCTATGGGCTTTAAGCATGGCTTCGTCACTTGGGCGTGAAGTGGTTGGAGCGGCAGAGTTCGACCCAAGGTCGAATGTGGTTGGAGCCGGTTCCTTGTTGGGAGCAGCAGGTTGTTCGGGTTGCTGTTAGGCTCCGGGGTTTCCGTTCTTCATTTGCTGAATTCCGGCGCATGTTTTCGTAACTGTCAAAACATGCGTTACAAAAGATGATTAAAGCAACCTGAACAGCTAAAACAACTACTTTAGGTAGGTAAAATATACCAACTAAGCACGTGTTGTAAGTTTCAGCTAACGGGTTGGATTGACAAAGCACACCTAATTGTAGTTAGCTAAGTGTTCTTGTGCGAACATTCTCTAAATGGTTCAGTGGTTGAAACTGTTACAATATGAAATGAAGTTATAGAATCGTCTCAGGTTGTTCGCGAAACTTGTAGCAGCAGAAGATTGCTTAGTGAATGTCGTGTACGGACCTTGTCAGAAGAAGGAGATTTGAATCTCGACAGAAGTAACTATAACAATGCGGTACAAGGGTTTATATAGGAATACAAGGGAATACGAAAGGTCCTAGCTAGCCATGTACTCTGAGGGGGTACATTTCCCTTAGGACTAACCTACATTGGGAATGCCAACCATGTGGTTCAGTAAGAATACGTGCCACGGTAACCGTTTGAATGCATTTCTCGCGCTTGCACTTTGAATTCATTTTGCTTTCAACCGTCTTCGATAACTGTCTGCGTTGCTTGGTCTTCGTCCTCGCTGCAGTCATGTTCGCGTTAAGGATTCATTGTTTCATGAATGTTATTCGACAACTCCATATCGTAACAAAAATAATTTCGTTTAACCCCTTGCATTTTATAATTCAATAACAGTAAATCACTTTTGTGAGCAAACTTTGGTCTTCCCAATAGTTATCAAAATTCTCTCAGCGAACTATAAGTTTGCGTGACTGCAGAGAACTTTCTGTAGAAGCTCTTGTTATAGCAGAAATCTCTGCACTTGCTGCACACACCTGTGACATGCTACACCAACACAAGACAAAATAGAAAACGCACACAAAATGCAAACGACAACGTGACACGCAACTAGCGAAAACTCACTATTTACTCGACACAGACATTCGGCATCATGAATCATCATTCACACAATTTTATACGGTAAGCGTAAATCATATATTTTCTCATGGTCTCATACCATTCCATGCAAGCATGCATACGTGTACTCGCAAGGAGAAAAAGGCAAGTGCAAACCATGAGGTTGCACCATCAACCTATAATTCAAGCTGTGTAAAGAAGCAGCTGGTCAATATTGCAAAGAGTAAGGGAGTGCTGTTTGTATTGGTGCAACTTAATGGTGTGCCCTCTGCTTTTTCTCTTTGTGTGCAGGTATAATCGAACCCCAACTTAACTAGGAGACATGAGTGCAGGTTTCCTTGGAAAGCGTTTGTGAGCACATTCTTCTTAAAGAACGCAAGAAATCCCACAAATGATTCACTTAATAAAACATCAATTTTATGTACATGGTTTCTTACTATGAGAAAAGGGGGTGTATGGAGAGAACTAAGCGGAGGGAGCATGTCCATGTCAGGGTTTGCATTTCCCGGCCTTGATCTTCACTTGGTCCGGAATGCACACTCTGGTCGACTTGACGAGCTTATCGATGCAATCGTAGCCGTTGGTCTTCCTGTAGCACCCTTTGATTCCACGGAAGTACTTGACCTGCAGGCCAGTGCAGCGGTCGCCAGTCCCAACCACGTACGCACGAGTCTTGGGGCACACTCCTTGCATGAAGCTGAACGAGCTGCCTATGCACGCCTGCACTTGCCGTGCAGTCAAATGCGAGTGTGGGGGAGGGGGGAGAGGGCGGGGACAGGGGAAAAGAGGGGGTGAGCGTGTGGAAGGCGAGAAAGGCATGGAGGTGGTAAGTATGTAGGTAGGTAGGTAAGTAACCAGCTGCAAAGAGATGCATGACGGTGAGGTGAAATCGGAAACGAGTGCTCAAGGAGGTGTTTGTGCATGCATGCTGAATGAGCGGCGGCCGACAGTGCAGCACAGATGGTTCTCAGGGTCTAGAGGTGCGGATTGGATGAGTGAAGGTGTGGAGGGGAGAGTTATGGGAGAGGGTAGTGTGGTCAAAGAGGAGGGCAGACCTCGAAGCCTGTAAGGCTGCCAACGTCAGTCTTGGGCACGAGGCGGCTGCACTTGATGCCGGGGTTGAGGCGGAAGAACTCGAGAGGGGAGAGCGGCGGGGAGGGCACGGAGCGGATCTGGTCGCACGTCTCCCCGGCCTGCACCAGATAGAACTGCGAGCACACCGGGATGAGCAGCGCCGCTGCACTCTCCGCCCGCCGCTCCACACACACCGCCTGGCTGCCCACCAGCTCCCCGCTGCCGGAGCAGTCCAGCCCGGGGTTGAGCGCCTGGAAGGCCGCTGCGCAGGGCTCGGTGGGAGTGGGGCAGCCAGCGGTGAGAGAGAAGTAGGTGGCTAGAGACTCGCATGTGTCGCCCTGGGGGTTTGGGAGCGAGGAGAGGAGAGGAGGGGGGAGAATGGGGGAGGAGAGTGAAGGATGAGAGAGAAGGATGAAAAGAGAAGAATGGAAGGAGGCGAGGGGGAGGAAAACGGGCAGAAAGGCAGTCCGGGGTTGAGAGCCTGGAAAGCTGCTGTGTGGGGCTGGGGGTCAAGGTGGGCTCGGTAGTGGGATCTTTGGTCGGGGCAGGTGGTGGAGAGAGAGGGATGTAGGCAGCCAGTGACTCGCGCGTGTACCCAGGTGGGAGAACGATAGGAGAGCAAGGAGGGTGGGAATGGTAAGAGGGAACTGGGCAAGGGGTAGAGGAGAGCACGGATGTGAGGGTTGGGAGTAGGTAAGGGGACTGGTGAATCACAAAGGGCATGGAGGAAGTGAGGAGCAGAGATTTGGGATAGAAAGGTGCTGGGAGTGAGGGGATGCAAAGAGGTGTGAAGACACAGCAGCAAGAGCGAGGTCAAAGAAGGGAGAGGGGGAGAATGGACGTAGGGAGAGTATGTTGGTAAAGCTGAGCGGCTAATGGGCTATAAGGGCTTGTTCCATAGCGTTTGATCGTAGGTCTTACAGTGCTCATAGGACCACAGTACTCTTCCAACATCTCCCCTCATTTACATAGATATTAGAATCACAGGCACCTTCCATGGTGCACACTGGAATCCGAACGCGAAACCCTTGCTCTGATACCTTGTTGGTAAAGCTCAGCTGCTAACCACTGAGCCTAAAAAGCTTGTTCCATAGAGGGTAAGCGTACCCATAACCCCCAAGGCCATCCTTGCCCGTGACCCTTTCTCAGGACCTTAGGCCGATCCCAATGCTCCTCCAACAGGGTCGGGTGGGAGTAAAGGAGGGGGGGGGGGAATGCGGGAAGGAGGGAGGAGGAAGGAGGGAGGGAGGGAGAGAGGGAGGGAGGAGGGCAGGCAAGCAGGGAGGGGGCGGACCTGGGACGTGGTGTAGTAAACGGAGCAGGGCATGAGGTCGGCTGGCTGGACCACATTCACCACCATACCGACAGCGAGAGGAGTGCTGCAGCTCAGGTCCTGGAGGGATCAGCGGGTGGACAGATGGGGTGGGTAGGAAGGGGGAGCATTGCGTGATTGGTGGGTGAGGTGGCGTGAAAATTGTGGGCAGACCCTTATGGGAGCACAAAGAGGAGGCTCAAGAAGCAGAAGGAAAGCAAGGGCCCACTAGGAGGCTCACGGGGTTCTGGGCTTGCAGCTGGGCGAGAGTGAGGCCGTAGACGGGGTGGATGTCGGCACACGTGACACCCCACGACACCACTGTGTATGTGCTGCTGGAGTCGCCTGTGCAGTGCGGTGCAGAGTGGTGCAGATGGATTTGCCATGCAGATGCAATGGTGTGGTTGTGCGGAAGGAGTGGTGCAGACGGGAATGGGTGTGGTTGGGGGCCATGAGAGGGTACGCAGGTGAATGGAGATTGATGGTAATGATGGAGGATTATAGAGCCAGCATTGCAATGTGGGTTGATGCGTTATCTACCAGTACGCTTTGTAGGAGCATTACTTGAATAAGAGTGGGAACAAGTGTAGCTCAGAACGAGAGGTATCTAGAGCGCAAGTGAGGGAGGTCACCTGGAGCACAGGAGAAGGTGCCATCAACAGTGGTGCCCTGCCTGAAGCCTGGAGGGCACACACACGAGTACGACCCCTTGCCATCATTCACACACGTGCCCACTGCACATGGATTGTGCACCGCTGCCCTGCATGCGTCCACTGGGGATCAAGGCAAGAGATGAAAGACACAGCCAAGGGAAACTCGGTCATGTTCTTCTCAGCGAGACACGACAGAATCAGACGAGGCTGGAAAGGAGAGAGCACACACTGTACGCATAAGAGGGAGTGCTCACTGTAAGCACAGGAGGGAGTGCACACGATAGCACAGGAGAGAGTGCTCACTGTAAGCACAGGTGCGCGAGTTGTCCGGTTGAAGTGCCTCAACGAATCGCGGGTCGTTGCAGTCGCAGTGGTTGCTGGCCCCATCAGGCGTGGGCGTGCACGTGAAGTTGCCACAGGGGTTGAAGAGCGGCCCAAACACCCCACTGGTGGTGCCGTTGACGTTGCAGGGGTCCTGGCAGCGCGCACCACCGGGTAGATCCCAGGCAGCGTGTTGATCCCACACACGCCGTCGCCCCCCTGGATGTCCATCCGCATGTGCCCGCCGTCGCCCCACTCCGGGCCCCATGAGTTGCGGATGATCCAGAAGGGCGGCGCCATGTGCGGGAAGGTGGGGTCTAAGCCGGTGAGGCGATAGCCCACCAGCAGCACCACGTGGTTCAGGTTGTACGTGAAGCACGACGGGTCCGCGTACTTGGATAGCTGGGGTGGGAGGGGGAAGGGGGAGTGCGGGGGAGGAGTGAGGGGTGCACGGGTATGGAATGAAATGTGGGACCACGTGGTTGATGTTGCAGCAGAGGTTCGACTCCCATTCTCCACAGTACACCTACCAGCCCTCAAAGATGTGCGATTTTGCGTGTGTGTGTGTGTGCGTGCGTGCGTGCATGCGTGCGTGCGTGCGTGAGTGCGTGTGTGTGTGTGTGTGTGTGTGTGTGTGTGTGTGTGTGTGTGTGTGTGAGTTAGAGTGGGCTCACCCCATCGTAGTTGAGGAAGGAGGGGGCGGTGGCCTGCACATGCACCACCACGGGCTGTCGCTGCACGGCCAGCAGCAGCCCAAACCAGCCGTGGAACGCCGTCCGCTCAAACCCGTTAACTCTGAACGGCCCCCCCGATGGCTTGCTCTGCCGTGGGGGCATGGGACGAGGGGTGCGGGAGGAAGGGTAGGGGAGAAGGGATAATGGAGGAGGGGTAGGAGAGGGGGATAAAGGAGGAAGGATAGGGGAGGGAAGGGGCATATGGGAGGTGGTGAAGGGGAGGTTGGGTTAAGAGAGAGGGTATGTGGGAGGTGGAATACAGGACAAGACAACATGGGAGTAGTGGTGGAGGTCAACGTGCTTGGTGAAACTGTTCCCTGAGGGTTTGTGAGGATGTGTTCCATCTTGTGCTGGCCACGCTGCACACAGCTGTGTGCACCCTAAGCTGGCCTTGACCTCGCAAAACAAAGGAAGTAGTGGTGCAAGGGCAAAAGCGCCTTAAGCGGGCCACAAAAGAAGGAAATATTGGCGAATGGATGTCAATGTGCTTGGAGCGGCTGTGGTGGATAGTATAAATTGTATGCGAGTGCAACTAATTTATGTAGAACAAGGACCATAAAATTCAAGGCAGCCTCATTCTAACAGCAACAGTCTCAGGGAGCCCCTCACAACAATGGATTGTAGTAGGCACATGACGAGATACCTGATGAGGTCAATACACCTGACAATGGGAATGGCACCTGACAATGGGAATGGCACCTGACAATGGGGATGGCACAAAAATATGTATCATGAAAAGACCGGAGTAGGCACCTGGTGCGGGATCCATGAGGCACGCAATCAGGCACCTGCCTTGACACCTGATGAAACAACTAGCAATGACTAGATGGACCCGCCACTTGATGGCGACGACACCGTTTGTACCGAGGTTTTTGTTGTTGACGTTTCTTTACAATTCCCAGCCAGCCAGGTGAATCCAATCGTATTGCATACAAATGGAAACATTGCCAGCAGAATAAAAAACCGGGAAAGAGAAGTAACTTACGGATCCTGGGGTGGGTGTGGCCTCTGCCGGAAAAAAACCCACATTAGGCCACCTAGTGCCAAACAAAGAAAAACAAGGTAAGAAAAGAAGCATACCGATCCGGGGGCCCGGCCTTTGGCGCAGGAGATCCCAAGCGCTTGCACGAGCAGAGAAAAGATGGGCATGCCACACAGCGACAGCAGCAGCCAGCAGAGGGCAGCAGTGGGGACCTGTGGTGATGTTCCAGGTGAGGATGGAGTGGAGCTGCGGGGAGTCAGAGGAGGAAGCAGTGAAGCCCATGAGGAACGACGCCTCGGCTGCACTGGGCTGCAGGAACTCGCACAGTGACACCTGCATCGCCAGCACCGCCTTGCCCGGCCGAGGGGACCCCTTGGCCGACAGAAACACTCGCAGCCACCCCGTGCCACTGCTGCAGCTGCCATAGCCAGCTCCGGCTCCAGTGGTGGAGCTACAGGAAGAAGGAGAGGGTTCAAAGACGATCCAGGCGTGCTTTGACTTGCCGTCGTTGAGAGTGAAGGGCGCTTTGGCAGTTGCGATGGAAGAGGTGTTGCCCCTCACACTCACTCCCACGTGGCTCTTGGCCGGGTCGTTGGCATCGGTGCTCCTGGCTGTGTCAAACTCCACTGCAATGCTGCGCTCATCCATGCCTGCATACCCCAAACTGCCGCCCCCACCACTGCCATTACTACTGCCGCTGCTACCGCCCGTCGCAGCGTCAGTGGCGGCAATCACAAACGCAAACCCATCGCCTGCGTCAACTGCTGCTGTGGCTGCTGTTGCTGCTGCTGCCTTGCGGGATTTGGCTGGTTTGAGAATGGAGAAGGAGAAATAGATGGTGAAGGCCAAGGGGCGACCGCAGGCACCGGCCTTGAGGGCGAAGGAGAAGAGTGGGATGGGCAGTTGGAGGAACGCTGCACCCCATGTGATGGGCTGTGAGGCAGTAAGTGTGATGCGCCCATTACTTGCCACTGCCGCCCTCCCCTTCACTGCTGTCTGTGCTGCTGTCGGCTGCACGATCACTGGGCCGCCCTCCTGACCTGTTGGTGGGGGAGGGGGTCAGGGCAGCCGGCAAGCGGGCAGAAACGCACAGACAGAGAAGGTCGTCGTTAATAAGCAGGGTTTTGAGAGGTCTGCGGCAAGAGAAGGGACGACCTTGAGGCGGCCTTAAGACTGCCTTGGATAATAAGCAGGGATACACGAGCAGGGCAATGAATAAAATATCTTCGGCACTTCCAACCCGCTTCAACAGCCGCATGCACTGTGGCGATTACCAGGGCGCCTGAAAATCAGCACTCTGGCCTAGTTTTGAGACACCTCAAATCCAGGGCGCCTAAAAATCAGCACTCTGGGCTACACAGCCACTGGGGTGCCTCTTCCGGCCTGGTGGGGGAGAACGGGAGCTCTTCTGCCTCTTCTCGGGATGGCATACAGTAGCAGGCAATTCTGGCCTGGTGGGGGAGAACGGGAGCTCTTCTGCCTCTTCTCGGGATGGCATACAGTAGCAGGCAATTCTGGCCTGGTGGGGGAGAACGGGAGCTCTTCTGCCTCTTCTCGGGATGGCATACAGTAGCAGGCAATTCTGGCCTGGTGGGGGGTGGCGGCATACGTGGATGAGCTGCCTGACTGTAAACTGTGTTTGTGTACAAGACGTGAGCAGGAAGGACCCACAAATCTTGGGGATCTCCCGCAGAAAACAGCCACAACCACACAACCCACACAACCCACACAACCCACACAACCCACACAACCCACACAACCCACACAACCCACACAACCCTCACAGCCCTCGCTCCCCTCTTCCCAGCCCTGTTCCTCTATACCCCCCTTTCACCCCCCCTCTTCCTGGAACTCACTTCCTTCGGGGACGCAGCTTCCAGGCAACTCCCCGTTGACAAACCCAGACTCGCAATCACACGTGGGCACTCTGCTGGGCCCGTCCACATAGCACGAGCCATGCCCGCCACACGGGGGATCGGCAGCACTCACGCCGCAAAACACATCGCAGAGCTCCTCCGGCCGCTGCACCGCTGCATCCGCAGCAGAGGGTGTGGCAGGCGTGAGGCAGGAATAGCTTTGGGTGGGGGTTTGGAGGCAGTTGAAGCGGAAGGAGATGGAGCCTTGGGAGCAGTTGGGCGGGGAGGAGAAGCCTGAGGAGAGGTAGTTGTTGTCGAGATCGTAGACTGTGAGGTTTGCTGGGATGGGCTGCAGTACGGGGCCTGTCAGCTGGTTGTTGCGCAGGTTGCTGGGAAGAAGTAGGGAGGGAGGGGAAGGAAGGGAGGAGGAAGTGGGGAGGAAGAGAAAAGGACGAGGGAATGCTCAAAAGGAGCCTTTGAGAAAAGGACGAGGTTAATGGTCCGTTTGGAGGAGGTTGGAGGGCTTGGGATGCAACAACCGAGAAAGGAGAAGGGGAGGTGAAGCTGGAAGGGAGGAGAGGAGAGAGGGGAGGGAGGGAGAGGGCTGGGTGCAAAAGGGGAGGAAACTACTTGGAATAAAGGGGAAAGTGGATCACTGAGCGGTTCTACTTTCTTGCAGATTATTTCCATCAAGGCACGGAATAAGTACTGTGAGGTATGCATGAGATACAACTTTGAGACGTCCAAAACATCAGCAGGGTGAAAGAGCTGGAGATTGAAACAGAACAGGGGGAAGGGAGGAATGAAATGGATTTTAAGGAACATCAAACATTGTTTCGTATCAGGATTGGAGACATTTCAATTAGATTTGCAGGCATCGGGGAGGGGGGGAGAGGGGCGGGGGGGAGGCGGGAGGGGGGAGAGGGGCGGGGGGGAGAGGGGAAGCTACGGATGGGGATGCGAGGAGGCCAGTAGGCGGACGTAGGGGTGAGCAAAATCACGAACGCCTGTTCGGTTCGCCTCGAACACGTTCGAGGCAAACCGAACAGGCTTTTTTTTTTGGCCTTAAGTGTTCAGGGCGAACATGTTCGATGTTCGCCCGAACATGTTCGTGTTCGGGGCGCTGCTGCAATTTGCCCCACGTCGAACACGAACGTGTTCGAGGTTCGCCCGAACACGCCTTCACAGGCGAACACCGAACACCCTTTTTGGCTAAAAGTGTTCGCGGAACCGAACACTGTTCGGTTCGGCGAACGGCTGTGTTCGTGCAGGGACGAACACAAACACGTTCGTGTTCGCCCCTTGCTCACCCCTAGGCGGACGCATAGGAGAGTGGATGGGATGATGCAGGGCGGACGCACAGGAGAGAGAGGCGGACAAGGCCGGTGAGCTGAGTGGGGATGGTTCCATGCAGACGATTGTTGCTCAGGTCACTGAGATGAGACAGCAAGATACAAGTAGGTGAGAGACAGAGATCTGAGAGGGGATTGGAGGGGAGGGATGGGATGGGTGGCTACGAGAGTTGAGGCGGCATTTAGACATCTCAAAACGCAATGTGGCTTGGTTATGACAGAGAGAGACACATGGGAGGGGGCTGACGGTTGGGAGGGAGACTGATGGTTGGGAGGGAGACTGACGGTTGGGAGGGAGACTGACGGTTGGGAGGGAGACTGACGGTTGGGAGGGAGACTGACGGTTGGGAGGGAGACTGATAGGTTGGAGGGGGACTGACAGGTGGGAAAGAAAAGTGGCAAGACTAAGGATGGTGGGCAGTGACCCTGATATCTGGTTGGAACTCAGATCCCTGCACGTACACAGGAGGACAAACATTCATCTTGGCTAACTGTGGCGAAAACTTGTTCTTGTTTGATGGGAAAAAAATTGCTATTGCGGATCTGATTTGATTTAGTGCGCCACCGCCGGTGCGAATTTGATTTGATTTGCGTATTTTTCCCTTTTCATCATTTCCAACCCATTATTGCTGCAGTCAGATTTTCCCGAGATCCACTGCTTAATCAAAGTATTCCAGTTCATATTATTACAGACTATATAAAGCAGAGGCTTTGTATTCTAAGGCACGATATGTGGAAACTGGGAAGGCCAGAGTGGGCCAGATTACAGAGAAAAGATGTTAGAGACAGATCAGGAAAGAAAAGGATGTTAGACGGGATGCGCATTACATTCTATGATTCAAGATGCAGCATGCTGCGTGCATTTGTGATTGATTGCTTGTTTACACGCGTGCGTGCTTGCTTGATTACGTACGTGCATGTCGTTTTCTGCTCACACTCACAGTTTTGTAAGGTCTGTGAGCTGGGTGAGGGTGGAAGGGAGATCCCCAGATAACTTGTTGGATCCGAGAACTCTGATTGGTTTTGGGGTAGCATCCCATGAGTCCCGATGGGGTTGCAGCATTCTACTCTCGCAGGTACTGACTGGTGTTAACAGTTGTGATGTTCAAGGGGGCACGGTGAGCGTGCTGATGGCAAGTGCCGAAGTGTGATGCCAAGGGATGGAAAAATGAAGCGTAAAGAATCAGGATGACTGGATGTGTATGGTGGCTGCAAGTAGGTAAAGTGCAAAGCGGATCCCACTAAAGCAAACAGTTTGTGATCGGAAGGACTTTGTCGAAAGGTGATGACAAAACAAGTTGCACGGCATGGCATGGCATGGCATGGTATGGGAATAGCATGGTATGGAAGGTATGTCATGTGTATGGATGGAACGGCATGTCTCACATATTTTGCAATCGCTTGAGTTCAAACATAGACGCCGGAATGGAATCAATGAGAGAGTTGCCCGAAAAATCACTACAGGGTGGGTGGGACCGTGGGATGGAGCGAGGGAGGGAGTGAGGGAGGGCGGGAGAGAGGGAGGGGGGGAGGGAGGGAGCGAGAGAGGGAGGTAGGGACCAGAGAAGAGTCAGCACAGGACTGTGGCAGAATGAAGAAGCCTAAACAAACAGAATCAAGGAAAAGTGAGCAAGGCTTGATGAGGGAGACGGGAATAACAGGAGGGGTGGGAAAAAGATGGAAGGAGAAGGGGACAGGAGAGGAGGAAGTAAGTTGCATCCATTTGGAGAGCTACTCTCATTGAAAAATGAACTCTTTACATTGTCAATGCACCCGCGACATTGGAAATAGTTTCAGGAATCGAACCCGTGAGAGCATTCCTTGCCAGGTTGCTGGAACGAACAGGGAAAGAGCGGGCATGGAGGGAAGGAATCGGGGAAGGAACGGGTGTGTGATAGTAGATGGATGGAGTGGAAGTGGAAGAGAGATTAAAGGAGCAAGCATATGGTGAAGGCACATTCTAGGTAGTCGAGATTGTTCAAGAAGCAATGCAGAAGAACAGTTAGACTTCAAACACTCACAGATACGTCAATGCAGTTTTCAGGTTAGTTGGAGCCGGTATAGATCCTGTAAAGCCGTTGCCTCTCAAATCCCTGTGCATGCGCATTCACATGGATGTTTACATGAACATGCAGAGTCACATGCCCACGCATACACACACACACACACACACAACCACACACACACACACACACACACACACACACACACAAACACACACACAGTCACATGCAAATGCACATGGATATTCACATGAACATGCATATACACATCCAAATACACCGTCATATGCTTATGCACACACACACAGTCACATGCGCAGCACAGTGACACGCACATGCATGCAATAAAGAATGAGTCGAGAGGAATGTGGAGACCATGGGGTGGTGAGGGGCGAGAAGGTGTGAAAGGAGGGAGAGGGAAGAGCAGAGTGCTTCAGAGGGATAATGAGTAGACCGTAGGTCCGAGAGAATTGAAAAGCATTTTCATTGGGCGCTTACATTGTAGGCGCCTGAATCAGAGGACAAAGAGGTGTAAACATAAGCCTCTAAGAAAGCGAATGGAGAACGAATCCAAAATCACGCGGATTCGTAAATTCGGAAATCTGAGGGCAATACCAGCCAACACTAATCAGTTACGACTGAGAATGTATGCACTTCTCGTAGTGTAATAACATTCAACCAAAAAAAAAAAAAAAAAAAAAAACCAGCCAACACTAATGTTGGTTGAGCGTTCATTGAGACCCTTTTTACGCGAGGACGAGCCGGGCATTGGCTCGACGAATCAACCCGGCTCGAAACTTCAAAGCTGGAATTGACGAGCCGAGCCGTTATGCGTGCATGCACGCCTAGCATACCCTGCTTGCACTCGAACTCGCCAGTAGCAGCGGCAGCAGTGCTCTCAGTGCCATTGCGAGCGCTGCTGCTGTCATTGGTGTGATTGCTGTAGATTTGAGCTGCAAGGCAGGTGTCCTCAGCTCAGCAGCATGGGTGCTGCTGATGGAGCAGCGTGCATGCGTGCACTTGCTGACGTTGAATGACTGACCTTTGAGCTCTTCAGCTCAGAAAAATGTGAGGGGAAGGGGTCGAGAAAGAACATATGATATGCATGTAAAGAGAATGGTGCCGGCAACATGTGAACTGTGTGGATAGTTGAGTTAAGACAATGAGCCACGACTGTGTAGCCGAGACTGTGTACAAAGTCAAATGCCTTAAGAGACATGAGTGGGCTGTGGAGGGATTTGAGGCAGGGTGATGGGAAGAGGAGGGAGAAGGCAGGGAGAGAGTAGGGTGAAAGGGACGAGAGAGGAGGGAGCAAGCAAGCAGCGACAGCACTAACAGGTATCGAAGGCTAGTCAAGCTCCCGAAACTTGGTAGTGGCCCTGTTATATCATTGTCGCTCAGGTCCCTGCCATGCCATGCGATGCGACACCATGCCATGCATTCAGTGTCACACAAAGTGATGCAATGTGAAGCCATGAAAACGAAGGTGGCCATATATTTGGCACTCGCACTCCACATGTTCGAAGCATGGAAAGACACCGGCTGTGGGCTGGCGAGCAGGTTCGGCAAGTTATGATTCTGTGGCAACTGAGAGGAATGTGCATCCTTACTCTAAGACTAAGGGGCAGGGATATGCCAGGAATATCCAGGTGTCCTGGTGTTACACCATCTACACCTCACCAATTATGGTCACCTGTAAGTACTTCTAAGCCCACCAAATTTGAAGTACCGCCAGTCTAATGTGGGGGCGCATCTGACTCTTTTTCCCTCCTTTCCATCCCTTTATTGCTGTACTCGAAGTTCCCCGAACTCCACTAGCTATGTCAGTTCATGTTATTACAAAATACATAGAGCACAGGCTTAGTACTTCCTAAGGTATGATATGTGGAAACTGGGAAGGCCAGAGTGGGCCAGATTACAGGGGATATGTGAGGAATATCAGAAAATAAGGGATGTTAGAGGGGATGCGCATTCCACTTGATGGTTCGAGATACAGCATGCTGCTTGCGTGTGTGATTGATTGCTTGTTTACACATGCGTGCGTGCTTGCTTGCTTACGTACGTGCATGCTGCTCACACTCACAGTTTTGTAAGGTGTGTGAGCTGGGTGAGGGTGGGAGGGAGATCGCCAGATAACTTGTTGGATCCGAGAAGTCTGGTAGGGATTGAGGCAGCACCCCATGAGTCCCGATGGGGGGGCAGCATGCAATTCTAACTAGGACTGACTGGTGCTAACAGTGGTGATGTTCCAGTGGGAACGGTGAGTATGCTGATGGAAAGTGCCGAAATTTGATGCCAGGGAATGGAAGAATGAAGGGCAAGGAAACAAGTCGAGTGGATGTGTATGGTGGTTGCAGGTAGTTAAAGTGCAAGGTGGATTTCACTCACGCAGATAGTTTAAGATAGGACGGACTGTGTCAAGAGGTGATGACAAAACATTTGGAGCTATGTGGCACGCAGTGCCATGGCATCAGTTGCACGGCATGGCATGGCATGGCATGGTATGGGAATGGCATGGTATCGAATGTGCATGGAACGGCATGTCTCACATATTTTGCAAATGCTTGAGTTCAAACATAGACGCCGGAACGGATTCAATGAGAGAGTTGCCCGAAAAATCACTGCATGGAGGAAGGGAGGGAGCGATGAAGGGAGGGAGGGGAGGAGGTGGGGAGGCAGGGAGGGAGGGAGGGAGGGAGGGAGGGAGGGAGGGAGGGAGGGAGGGAGGGAGGGAGGGAGGGAGGGTGGGTGGAAGGGAGGGAGAGAGGGAGGTAGGGACCAATGAGAGACAGCACAGGACAGTGGCATAATGAAGAAGCCTAAAGAGACAGAATCGGAAAAGTGAGCAAGGCTTGATGAGGGAGAGGGGAAGAACAGGATGGGGTGGGACGGGACAGATGGAAGGGGAGGGGGACAGGGGAGGAGGAAGTGAATTCCATCCATTGAGAGAAATACTCTTCTTGAAAATTGAACTCCTTACATGGTGACTGCACCCGCGACATTGGAAATGGCTTCAGGAATTGAACCCGTGAGAGCATTCCTTGCCAGGTTGCTGGGACGAACAGGGGAAGGAGGGGTATGGAGGGATGGATGCGTGGGTAATAATAGATGGATGGAGTGTTAGAGGAAGAAAATTAATGGAGCAATGCAGAAGAAAAATTAGAGGAAGAGAGAGAAATTGGGGAAGGAATGGGTGGGTAATGAAGCAAGCATGTGGCGAGGGCATATTCTAGACAGTCGAGATTGGTCAAGACCCAATGCAGAAGAACAGTTAGACTTCAAACACTCACAGATACGTGAATGCAGTATTCAGGCTGGCTGGAGCGGGTATAGATCCTGAAAATCCATTGTCTCTCAAACTTCTGTGCATTTGCATGCACAAGGATATTCACATAACCATGTACAGTCACATGCACACAAATACACACACACACACACACACACGCACACACACACACACACACACAGTCACATGCAAATGCACATGGATATTCACATGAACATGCATATACACATCCACATACACCCACACATGCTCATGCACACACAGAGTCACATGCGCAGTGACATGCACATGCATGCAATTAAGATTGAGTCAGGAGGAATCAGGGGGAATGTGGAGACCATAGGGTGGAGAGGGGCGAGAAGGTATGAAAGGAGGGAGAGGAGAGAGCCGAGTTCTCCAGAGATTAGATTGCAGGCGCTGGAGAAGTGAAAATCACTTAAGCCTGTAAGCCTGTAAGCAAACAAATGGAGAACGAATCTGAAATCACACGGACTGATCATCTGTATTTTGTCCTTCTAATACTCGGAAGTCTCAGAGCAATACTAGCCAGCACTAATGGCCAAATCACTTGAGCTGCAGGGCAGGTGTCCTCAGCAGCATGAGTGCTGCTGATGGAGCAGCGTGCATGCATGAACTTGCTGACAGTTGAATGGCTGACCTTTGAGCTCTTCGGCTCACAAAATTGTGAAGGGAAGGGGTCGAGGAGAAACATATACATCGAGAGAATGGTGCCGGCAACATGTGAACTGTGTGGATAGTTGAGTTAAGACAATGAGCCACGACTGTGTAGCCGAGACTGTGTACAAAGTCAAATGCCTTAAGAGACAAGAGTGGGCTGTGGAGGGATTTGAGGCAGGGTGATGGGAAGAGGAGGGAGAAGGCAGGGAGAGAGTAGGGAGAAAGGGACGAGAGAGGAGGAGAGAGGAGGGAGCAAGCAAGAAGCGGCAGCACTAACAGGGCAAGAAGGCTAGTCAAGCTCCCAAAATTTGGTAGTGGCCCTGTTATATCATTGTCGCTCAGGTCCCTGCCATGTCATGTTATGCCATGCCATGCCATGCCATGCGACACCATGCCATGCATTCAGTGCCACACAAATTGATGCAATGTGAAGCCATGAAAACGAAGGTGGCCATATATCTGGCACTCACACACCATCCCACATATTCGAAGCATGGAAAGACACAGCGGGGGTGCGATGATGCAGCATGATGGAAAGATGAGCGATGCACAGTGAGGGGGATGTATAGCGAAATCTATATTGGAGTGACTTTTGAGAACTCTCAAAAATGCACGGTGAGGGGGATGTATAGCGAAATCTATTACAGACACAGAATGCATGAGCCATTGAATGAAGACATTCAAACAACTTGAGGGTCCATGCCATGCCATGCCATGCCATGCCATTCCATGCAGAACCAGCCCTCTCTGGAGACAAAGGCAAGTGTGGGAGAGGTGAGTGATGCGCTCACAGCAAAAGGAGGTGGCCGAGATTAGTGATCTCTCCAGGAAGATCGCCTTGAATCCCACACCTAGCCGCCAGTCTGATGCAAGAGGTAAGTGAGTGGGGAGCGAGAGGGAAGTGCATGAAAGCGGATGTGAGAGGAAAATTCAAAGGGTGGAAGAGGGTGGGAGGAGAAACAAGAGAGCAAAATGTAGCGACTGATTGGGCGGATTATGAATAGAGCCGAATAAATTAGAGGACAAAGTCTGCTCATTGCTGCTGGGCATTTTAATATGAATTTGAATTGCATAATGACTACAAGAAGTGCATGGCTGTTAGGGATTCTTGAGAAGAAAACATGGCAATAGCCGCTGCATCCTTGATGGGAGAGAAAGAACATTCAAAAGCACGCTAGGTTTCTGGTGCAAGGGTGCTGGTGATGGTTGTTCTGGTGCTGGTGCTGGTGCGGGCGATGGTGCTGGCGCTGGTGCTGGTGCTGGTGCTGCTGGTGCAGGTGCTGGTGCTGGTACTGGTGCTGGTGCTGGTGATGGTGATGGTGTGCAATGCAAGCTGACTATTGATATGAGACTGAGTACTTTGGTTAACTTACAGCAATTGCAAGGATAAGAGGTCTTTTATTCCACTTGGAAGGGACCCCGAGAAAAGGTTGTCGGAAATGTCTCTGAGGGAGGTGATGGGAGAGATGAGGAAACTGATGGATGGGAGAACGATACAGGAAATTATGAGCAGTTTTGACTGAAAACATCTGAAAGGGACAGCACAGAATGGCACTGCAACACATGGGGACAGCAATGAGGGAGTGGGGCAGAGACTGATAAGCCCCACGCTCTAAATAGCTTCATAGATGCGATGAGACCACTTGAAATAGTCATACAAGTGCTGCACCCAGGTTTGGGTGCACACGTTGCTCGAAATACCCCCTCCAGTTTTGGATTGGCGCACCCCAACCCCACTCTGCAAGTGATAGGGGGCCAGCAGTTTTGGCCTTTGTCAACCAAAAATTGGCTCCCTTAATAATTCGTGGCGTACCCCAAACACTATTAGGCAGTTAAACACATTGGGTACCCCATCGCGTTGGGTGCGCCATCTCTTGGTTACCCCGACTTCTCTCACATTGTACACGCTGACTCTCTTGATAGAATTTTATAGCATTCACCTTTTCCCAACCATGAATGTTCTGCACTGTCCCGGCACACATGGATAGAGCAAGCGACTCACACTTGCACGAGGCTTGCCATTGCAGAGAGGGTACCGGGAATAGACCCAGAAAAGGAATTACTGTCAAGGTACCTGCGTTGGCGGAACACACACAAAAGTGATGGTCAGCAGAGCAGTGCATGCATGCGGGGGCTATGGAGAGAGCAGAATAGGTGGAGGCGAGTAATGGTGTGCGGTAGGGGGGTGGGAGTGCAGTTGGGGGGAGCTTACATGTTGCGCAACTTTTTTAGGTTTGAGAATCCCGAGGGAATTCTCCCTGAGAAGTTGTTGCTGGAGAGATCGCTGATGTTGACAGGGGCACGACAGGGGTTGGGGCGGGAAGAAGGACGGAGAGAGTGAGGGAGGGAGGGAGGGAGGAGGGAGGGAGGGAGGGAGGGAGGGACGGACGGACGGACGGAGGGAGGGACGGAGGGAGGGAGGGAGGGAGGGAGGGAGGGAGGGAGGGAGGGAGGGAGGGAGGGCGGGAGGGAGAGAGAGAGGGACGGATGAGGGAGGGAGGGAGGGAGTGGGGAGCCTGTCAGAGTACAAAGTTGAATTGAGGAAGATAGGGGAAATTATAGGATGGGAATTCAACCAAATCCTTTATGATAACGTTGGAATCTCAATTTGGATAAGGTTGGGATCACAAATCTACATCTAAACTGTAAATAACCTACTCGATAAATAGTAGAGTACAGAACATGTTGGAAGCCTAAGTTTAACACACTCCCCAGCCAGGCTGCAACATGCAACCATGGAGAGAGTGAAGCCTCATGGAGGTAAGCCGACGGTAATGGTCCTGCCAGCTAAGGGACTTGGTGAAGAAAACCAGTGGTCACCGAGGTTGCAGTCGGATGCAATGTGCTCAGCTTTGAATTGGCTCATGAAGAATATAGTGGCAGATCTCAATGTACTTGATGTGGCTGTGGAGGACAGAGTCCTTGATGACGTGAATAATGCTCTGGTTGTTACACCAGAGGGTAGGTGTGGACTGAGGATACACAAGTTCACCAAGTATACCCAATCAGCCAACGGGCTTTCTAAGAAGCCATGGGTCTGGCATAAAGCTCAGCAGCCTCACATTGGCCATGGGACAGCAAGTCGGAAGATTACCGAGTAGAGCGCCAACTCACAGCCCCACTGCCAAATGCAAAGCAGTACTTCTGTGAAGAAAGGTGATCAGTCTGGTCATCAGCCCACGAAGAGACACTGTAACCCTCATGGTGAACTGGGGGAGATACCATCCCCCGAGAGTGAGGATATGATGTTGAGTCGCTTTGAGATATCGACGGACCTAGGGATGAGCACAGATACGAACACCTGTTCAGTTCGCCTCGACAGGGTTTTTTTTTGCCCAAAAATGTTCACCTCGAACGTGTTCGCTGTTCGGGCAAACACGTTCGGTGTTCGCCCTCGTCAACTGGCCGAGCCGCGTCGAACACGAACGACGAACACTTCGGTGTTCGTCGACGAATTGGCCCGTGACCAATTTTTAGGTCGCGGGCCTTGATGTTTGAGCTCATTTTTTGAGCTCAAACTATCCGCGACCTAATCGCCAGCCCCTTAGCGCCCACTACCGCCCTTTCCTAGCAGTCCTAGAACCCTCACTACACTATCTTAGATTGATTTAGGTTACATTAGTGGTACCAGAATAGCGGAACCTTGAAGAACTTGCGGTTAAAGTAGGGAGTATGCGTTTAGGGGGCGTGAGATTCCCTTTTTGGCAAGTGTGACTATAGTGAAAGGTGTCCCTTGGCGAACACGAACGTGTTTGCCTCGAACATGTCCGCGTTCGCCTTTCCAAGCAAGGTGTTCGCCTTCACAGGCGAACAGCGAACACCTATTTTCGCCAAAGGTGCTCGGTTCGCCGAACGGCTGTGTTCGCGCAGGGGGGAATGCGAACACGAACGTGTTCGCCCCTTGCTCATCCCTAGACGGACCCATGTGTGAACCGTCCAATGCTGGTGAGTGAAACAATCTAGAGAAATGTCGCGCAAGAGAACAATCACCTAGTAGGTCAAATCTTTTCAAGTGCACATCATTTTAATGTTGGAGTAGGCTAGTTCTTCTCTGTATGTGATTTTAACCATTTTTTGGGGGGAGGGGGGGGGAGGGCGAGGGGGAAGAGGGGGAGCGTTTAGTTGATCTTTTTTGTTATAGCCCTGGGCCTTGTGATTGGAAAATCGTTTTAGCCCCTTTTTGCTTATGTTAACCTCGAGGCGAAAAAAAGGGGGGGACTCTAACCGGGGGGTACGGTACCCTTAGTTCAAGTTCGGCTTAGGGTCATTATGGAGTGTGTTGGAACATGGCCTGGATTCAGTTGGGGTTTCGTCCCAGCCAACACTATGACATTGTACTCATATCTACTCTATGCATCCTTTGAACCTTCTTCTTAGCCATCGCTGCTGGAATCCTCATCTTAACACCTAACTCCAACAGAGATTGCCTTTGAGTTCTTACACAGCAATGGAAACAGTGTAAGGGCTGCGCGGTGGTGTGGAATTATTTATTCGACTCAGGATTCAAGTAGTGGTTGCTAGAATAATGAAAATCACTTTTGAGAATTCTCAAAAATGAAAATCACTTTTGAGATTTCTCAAAAGTGGTTTCCACGTAGTCGACTCAGGATTCAAATACCAGTTGCTAGAGTAATGCTGACAAGGCAACAACAGGACATGAGTGTGTAAGGGGTTGGGGTACAAGGACGCAAATGGAGACAGGCAGTGCTGCAAAGTTGTAGGAGAGTTCGAGGGAGGGAGTGGCAACCACGAGAATGTGAGTAGGATGGTGTAGTAGATGTGGTATGGTACGCATGCAAGACATGGCCCGTCATCACATGGCATGGCATGGCACGGCGTGACATGGCATGTCACGACACTGCATGGCATTGCATGGCGAAGCATGGAGTGCCATGAAATGCCATGGCACGGCATCGCATGCCACGGCACAGCCTGGCGGCTGGTGTGACATAAGGGCACAGCAGGGTGCTTTCGGTGTGTGTGGAGGCGAGCTTACAGAGTGGAGAGATTGCTGAGCGTGCTCAAGACAGAGATGGTGCCTGACAGCTGGTTGTCGACCACAAGCCTGAGTCGGGCAGGGCAGGGCAGGGCAGGGCAGGGCAGGGCAGGGCAGAGCGAGGCAGGGCGGGGCAGGGCAGGCTTTTGAGACGTCTCGTAAATGGTGCCTGACAGGCGGTTGTCCGTCATGGACATGCGTCACTCATTTGATGCATGCATGCGTGCATAACAAAGGCAGGGCAGGACCGGCCATTGATGCATGCCGGCTCGTAACTCTGAATGGACGAGTTTTTTTTGCTCAACCGGAGTTGAGTTGAGAATAACTCAACTTCTGGCAATCTGCCCCCTCTTCCCCCACCCTCAAGTAGTCAGTCCTGCCACCTGCTTCATTAATGCTAGTGCCAGAACTGACAGGAAAACGCCAGATTCGCGCAGCGAGAAGTGGGGAAAAACTCTACTCGATTGGTCATTTATGCTCTCTTCTCTACCACACTGCTTTGCAATGTCATAACACAATTAGATTGAAGCGACTCACAATCCCGAAAGGCCTGTCAATGCAGACAAAGCGCTGGGAAGAGATCCAGAAAAGGAGTTCTTGTGGAGGTACCTGCATTGGCAACGCACACGGGTTAGTGAAGGAGCCAGCCTAGCAGAAAGCAGCATTGATGGAGGCAAGTGATAGTGTGCAGTGCAGTGGGGGCAATGGGAGTGCAGTTGGGGGGGCTTACATGTAGCGCAGGTTTTTCAGCTCGGAATATTGCGAAGGAATGGTCCCTGAGAACTGGTTGCCGGTAAGGGCTCTGGTGGTGTTGACTCAGGGGGTAGTGATGGAGGGAGGGAGGGACATGGGGAGGGAGGGAGAAAGTGGGGAGCCTGCCTTCGAGTCATCACACATGAATAAAGAATGTTTGGGTCTCAAAGGGGTGTGCAACAGCGAGGGCCCAATGCACAGGTTGCCACCTGGAATGGTATTTGATGCTGACAATGGGACAGCAGGGGGTGCGGTGGAGATTCGTATCAAACTGAGAATCTAAAATACTTGCTGCTAAAGTCATGTTGACAATAGGGGGCAGCAAAAAAAAGGTGAGTGGTTGAGGAGGCGGGGTGGAAGGAGGCAGATGGAGACAAGCAGTGCTGCAGAGAGGAATGGGAGGTGGAGGGAGGGAGCTTCAAGCATGAACTGGCGTGTATGATGGGCAGCAGACGTGGCATGGCATGGCATTACAAGCATGGCATCGCATGCAACGGCACGGATTGGCATGGCACGGATTGGCATGGATTGGCATCGCACAAATTGGCATGGCACGCCATGGCAACACAGCATGGCGTTGCAAAAGGGGGCACAGTAGTAGGGTGATTCAGTGTGCAGGCGAGCTCACAGAGTGTTGAGATTGGTGAGCATGCTCAATTCAGGAGCGGTGCCTGAGAGCTGGTTGTAAGCCAGGGTCCTGCAAGGCAGGGTAAGGCATGCCACCGGTGCATGAATACATAGCACAGCGCAGCAAGAGTGGCATCACTGCTTGGAGACGTCTCATATCCTGCATGTCAGGGAAGGCATGCCACCGGTGCATGAATGCGTAACACAGCAAGAGTGGCACCAATGCTTTACGCATTAAAACCAGATAGCTGATGTGAAACACTTGGGCGGCTTGATAATGGCATGGTGCAGTATTCTTAATGCTACCTATGACATAACACATAAGTGGACACCTATGGTCTGAATAGGGAGCCCCCAGTGAATATAGGCTGGCGTCCGTACGCTGGATGCTGGACGCTCAGCCAATTTTTTTTGGGCAGCCCAAAAACAAATCTCTCTCAACGAGGTCACGATTCGTGCTTTTGTTGCGAATGTAATTTCGATGGGAATCTGTAGCCTACTTTGCTAGATGGAGCGCGCCGCGCCGCTTGATTACAGGATCCATTGTTTGGGAACGGCCTTAAAGCTCTCCATCGACTGATTGCTTATCAATAATTTTCTGAATTGCAGGGTATCCCCCATCCCTTTCCCCCTTTCCCCCCTCTCCCCCCATGTCTCCCCTGCTCGGGAATGTGTTTTTCTTGCCCGACCCAAGCCTGCCTCTGAACTGGACATTTCAGCATATCTCGTATGTCTGGGCGCTAGAACATTGAACGCTGAACGCGTCCCATGTCCACTTAGCATAAACAGCACCATACATGCCAGACAAAGCCTTTTAAATTTTGTTTGTATTGGAGTCGCTTTTAAGATTTCTCATTCCCATACACGGTAAAGCCACAGCTGCTGGCTAGGGAACCAGCGATACAGCAAGGAGACGAGCTCACAGATAGGACAATCCAGTAAGCGTGCTCAAATCAGGAATGGTGCCTGAGAGGCGATTGTTGTTCAAATATCTGCGTTGCATTAGTCACAAAAGAGTTGAGAAAGGATGAGCTCAGCTGGATTTTCCTATTAAAAAGGTTGGGAATTTCGGTTTATCAAAGTAGGAAAGGTAGGCATGGGGAAGCAACTTGGAGGCAAAAAACGAAAAAAAAAAAAAAAAAAAAAAAAAAAAAAAAAAAAAGGAAACAAACAAACACTTGGACGCAGCCACTTCGTGGGGATCTGGTCTTTTGCCGCGCAGATCTGGAACTTCTAACATGGATGACACCATGTTAGAAGAGGAGAGGGGATGGAGATGAGACGAGTGTCGATTAGGGTCAAGTAAACATTACTTGCTCTGGGTAAGAAGAATTCAACCTTTCGGTTCGGCCAAATAATGGATTAGAGTCAAGTCAGACATACAAGTGATGAAGGGATGCTTTTCTCAAACTCCCCATGTTCGAGGAAACCAATCCTCCAACTCCTGACCGCAGGCGAGCATCAACCATAAACACCATGAGGCAATGGGTTTAGGGTGTGTTGCAGATGACGCAAACCTGGAGCACCGCACCGCACCGCACTGGGCTGGTTGCCCCATCAGGTTCGCCCCAGATCTAGCCAGTCGCTCAACGCACGTGACTCAGGCGATTGCAAAATTGCAGGGAAATTACCAGGTGTGTCCGGGTGGAACCTGCTGAACAATCTCATCGCACCGTTGCACGTGGTTGTATACCTGTGCAAAGGGGCGAGCCGAGTAATGCTCGACTCGTCCCTAGCCTTGCTCGGCCGAGTACGAGCCCGAGTCGAGTAATACTCGGCCGAGCATTTTTCCCCCAAACAGATACTCGGTACTAGCCTTTTTGAAGGAAACTCGGGCGAGCATTTAGAAAAGCTCGTCCGAGTACGAGTAATGCTCGGCCATGTGCCCTACTCCTGCATATAATGACTCTGTACATAACAGCTAGTGAAGGCCATTAGTACCACGGGAGTATTGGGGTTTCCAGGGCCGCCCAGGTAAACCCAAGGTGGTCCCAGGAAGCCTAGGAAAGCCCAGGAAAGCCCTGGGTTGCCCTGGGTAGCCCAGGGTAGCCTTGGGTTGCCGCGGTAAGCCCATGGAAGCCTGGATAGGCGAGTACTCGTCGAGCAAAAAAAACTCGGCGAGTAAAACTCGGATCGACTCGCCCAAGTAAAATATACAAAAACCGAAACTCGTTACTCGCACCCAAACGAGTAACTCGGGCGATACCGAGCGAGTAACTCGTCTCGTTGCACAGGTATACGTGGTTGGGCAAAGCAATGCGACTCAGATGCCCATTTCGTGAGATGGTGAGAATGTTTTTTCTTTGTGGCGGGCAGAGTGGAGAGGCGGTGAGAATAACTGGGGAGTTTCCAAGTGAATTTGGTGACCTGTGTGACTGGGCGAGGATCGCGACATTTCTGCGAGATGTCGCAAGCTCTGCCTTGCTCTCGTGCGAGCCTTGCAACGCATTGGCACCCAGGGCATGGCACTTCACCGCCGGTGCGGTGTACCGGGTTGACTCGAGTTTGTGCCTGCCCGGAAGATTTAAAACCCGGTGCACTGCACTGGGTAGGTGCACACCAACGCGAAATGCAACAGATCCTTAGGGTTGATGGCTCCCCAAGGCATCCCTTCCTAAGACATGCCTTCCTCATGGGTTTTAGATTTTTTGGCCCGTGGGCAGCTCAACTGCATGGATAAAAATAAACTCGACTCGTATAATGGTCATGTCCGGGAACACTTTGAGTTTGTGGTGTAGCACCCAGCACTAAACTAGAACAGCAGTAAACCAGGACAACACTAAGCTAGGATACAAAGGCTTCAAACATATAACAGTCTTGGAGATTAGATTGATGGTTGGGCCATGAGTTTAAAGAGTATGCATTATGCACACTATACACAGCTTCTGGCTGGTCAGGGGGCTTAGAATTGCATGGTCAATGGAGAGGAGAGGAAGGCCAGCAGCAGCCATATCGGGGACTCCAGAGGGGACTGTGGGGAAGTAAGACGCTAAGACGTTTGAGGTGCATACTTGCTGTGATATGATGTGACTCGGTCCGTACAAAGTAGTGGCAGTCAGGGAGAGTTCCTGACAACGCAACGCAAGTAGCGAACATCTCCACACGGAACACGGCTCATACCTGGAATGGGAGGCTGGTGCGCGTATGTGATTTAAGTCAAGCGTGTAGCTGCTAGCTACAGGCGCTACTCACAGGGACTGGATCGGCTTCATGCGGCTGATTTCACTGGGAATCGGTCCTGTCAGCTGGTTGTTCCGCACGTTTCTGCTCGCACAAGGGACGCAGAGAAGATGTAAGAAGGGTTGGGAGGGGACCGGACCAGAGGTGTGGGAAGGGTTGGGAAGTAGCTTGATAAAGAGAGTAATATGGAGCAGCAGTGCTGCATGTGGACGACTGTGGTCCAATCATACACTTATTCATTGAAGATGTTTTTGTCAACAGCGAACAGCGAAGGTCACCAGAGGTCAACATCGGTCCTATCCAACGGATGGACAACATGAATGCATGGTGCTTGCTGGGTGAAACAGACAACAATGAGCTGCAGCCTCCAGCCTGCAATTGCAGTGCCAGAGCCAGACGACTTCCAAAAAAAAAAAAAAAAAAAAAAAAAAAAAAGAGGTAGCGCCAGGGGCGCACATTTCTGTGAGAAGTGGCAGATCGCTGATTTGGCTGGGTATGGTGCCCGATAACTGATTGTTGTAAAGCAGACTGCGCGGGATGCGAGAAACAGGAATGAAACAAGACTGCAGGCTGATCTCATGGATGGGATCCTCGCTGGGCTACACACAACTTAGGTTGACAACCAGGGGTCAGAGCAGGCTGAAAGAGAGAGAGAGAGAGAGAGAGAGAGAGAGAGAGAGAGAGAGAGAGAGAGAGAGAGAGAGAGAGAGAGAGAGAGAGAGAGAGAGCGGGGACGGGTAGGGAGGCATACAAATGCAAACGGCAGTCTTGTGAATAGAGTGGCAGCATGCACACGAGCAGAGTGGGAGCAAGCACACGTGCACAGAATAAGACAAGCATTAGAAACTGGGCACTGGGGGTTGTGCTTACAGGTCTCTGATACTGAGAATGGCCTTCTTGACTCATATTAGAAGGACAGCAATGCATGAAGATAAAGCTTGAGCAACAGTGTGAAAAAAACATGTGAAAAAAAAAAAAAATCTCAAAAACCCCTTGTCTCCAAAAAGGCCTCCTTGCGTAAACTAGTTCCGGCGGACGGGAAAAAACCGATCACTGGAGGTTGTGCTTACAGTTGTCTGAGGTTGAGCATGGCTGATAGCACGTCTCCTGGAATGGAGCCGGTGAGTTGATTGTTATACAGCCGCCTGATGCCATGCAACACAGAGAGACGGGCAGGCCACATGCATGCAAGCGTAGGGGTGGGGCAGGCAAGGAGGGGGGTGAGGCAATGGGATGGGAAGAGTGTGTGCATGCGTGCATACCTGCGTATGTGCGCGTGCGTGTGCCCGCATACGTGCGTGCGTGCGAGCGTGCGTGCGTGCGTGCGTGCGTGCGTGAGTGCGTGCGTGCCTGCATGCTGGATGTTTGAAACAACACCACAGTCACACCCACACAGGCAGTGGGAAGTGTGTGTGGGGGGGGGGGGGGTGAGGAAGGGGGTGAAGGGGTTGGGGAGGGGCGAGGGGTTGCGTATATTTGGAACAACGACGCAGAAGGGAAGAGGATTATTCTGTAAGGAAACACTCGAAATCGCAACACTCACACTCACAACACTCACAATCATAACACTCACAATCACCAACACTCACAGTCACAACACTCACAGTCGCCACAAGCTGCTGAGTCTAGAGTAGCTTGCAGGGATTGTGCCATTGAGCTGATTGTATGAAGCATCCCTGCATCCATCACACACTCCCACCGTTCCACGGCGCCCCACCCATTGTGACAAACACACGAGATCACCATGGCGTCAGCATGTGAGACAGTATAATGGCGTGAGCATGACATCAGAAACAATAATGCCCCAATTGCACTGCTTGACGGCGTAAGGGAAGGAAGAGCATGGGAGCAGGAGAGCCATGGACCATGGACATGCCCTTTCCCATCACATAAACATGAACACAGAATGCCGTTCTTTATCGTACCCTTCAAAAGGCATGACATGCTTTGTTATTAGGCCCACCCATCCACCCATCCACCCATCCACCCACCCACCCACCCATCCACCCACCCATCCACCCACCCACCCACCCACCCACCCACCCACCCACCCACCCACCCACCCACCCACCCACCCATCCACCCACCCACCCACCCATCCACCCACCCACCCACCCACCCACCCACCCACCCACCCACCCACCCACCCATCCACCCACCCACCCACCCACCCACCCACCCACCCACCCACCCACCCACCCACCCACCCACCCACCCATCCACCCACCCACCCACCCACCCACCCACCCACCCACCCATCCACCCACCCACCCACCCACCCACCCACCCATCCATCCACCCACCCACCCACCCACCCATCCACCCACCCACCCACCCACCCACCCACCCACCCACCCACCCACCCACCCACCCACCCACCCACCCACCCACCCATCCACCCACCCACCCACCCACCCACTCACCCACCCACCCACCCACCCACCCACCCACCCACCCACTATGATCATCACAAACCTCACATCCGCAGCACCACTTTCCCTGTTTCTGCGTCTACCTGCCTTCTCCCCCTCTCCCGCTTCCCCTGAATCAACTCCTGAATCATCTTATCACGTCCACGGTACCTCGCACCGCAACACACCTTGCTCACTGCACATTGGCCCATTACACATCGTAACAAACTCCCGAAGCTTCCCCTACATCCTTCCTACACACACCCCCCTCCCCCCCCCCCCCCCCCCTCCCCCTCACTTTGCCCTCCGACCCTTCTAATCAGGTAAATTTCCTGCATCACTCTTCCACCTTCCCCCATCATAACCCCAAACCAGCCCAAAATTAGCCTTAGCCTAACAGAAACGTTCCCACAAACTAACCCAGCCTCACCCCAAGCTCACCCCATACTGACCCCAACACCTCCTCCCCCCTCCTCACATCTCAATTAGAGCAGTCAGGTTGACGAAGGATGCTGGGAGGGGTCCTTTGAGCTGATTCCACGTCAGCACCCTGTGCAGTGCAGTGGGTTTTACGGGGTTGTGGGGGGTAGGTAGTGGGGGTGGGAGCAAGGCAGGAATGGGGGCTTGGAGAAGGACAGGAGGTGGTTGGATTAGGGCGGAGGTGGTTGGATAAAGGCAGGGGTTGGGGCGGTTGGAGTCGGGCAGGGGGTGGTTGAATAAAGGCAGGGGTTGGGGCGGTTGGAGTCGGGCAGGGGGTGGTTGAATAAAGGCAGGGGTTGGGGCGGTTGGAGTCGGGCAGGGGGTGGTTGAATAAAGGCAGGGGTTGGGGCGGTTGGAGTCGGGCAGGGGGTGGTTGAATAAAGGCAGGGGTTGGGGCGGTTGGAGTGAGGCACCCAGCCATGCAGCAGCCATGCTGCCTGCCTGCCAGCCAGCCATGCACCCACCCAGCCAGACACCTACACATGCACATGTGCCTGCCGGCCGCACCAACACAGCATAAGGCCTCGCACTCACAGGAGGCTCAGCTGAGAGAGGGTGCCAATGCTGGTGGGTATGCTGCCGATGAGCCCTTTGTAACCCAGGTCCCTGCACGGGGCACAAGGAGCAGCCGAGCATGCTTTAACCTCAAGATCTAATTTCTCTGAACCGTCTGTGCTGCAGATCCCTGCACGGACTAGGGAGTGGTGATGGAAAACCGGGGCAAACCACTTAACAAAGTGCTCTATGGAAATGGCGCAGGGGGGAGACTGTAATATTGCCCTAGGCAGTGGAGGAGCCGGCACGAAAAGAATCTCATGTCACCATGGGCAATGGGCAACAGCAGGACGACTGGTCTCAGCAGTGACTACTCGGTGACTTGACTCACAATGCCGTGACATCGCCATCGGTATTGCAAGTAACGGCATTGAAGGTGCCACAGTCGTTGCCAGGTAACCACGTCGCACTGCCTGTGAACGCGCCCCACTGCTGCTTCAGCTCCTGGAGGACCGACCCTGGCGTTGAACAAGGGAGGGGAGAGCAACTTGCATGAAAGATACTCTGTCCCTCACAGAGACGCGCTTGAGATTCTGTTCCAGGCGATCAAGACATGCCCCTCTCGCGCTTGAGCTTCTGCGGGACCAACCCTGGCGTGTTGTGTTGTTGCATGTGAGGGGAGAAACTTGCATGGAAGATACTTTGTTTGAGCTTCTGCGGGACCAAGACCAACCCTGGCGTTGAACAAGGGAGGGGGGCAACTTGCACGAAAGATACTATGTCCCTCTCAGGCACACAGCGAGATGCAGCAGGGATGCAGTTACATTCAGGGGCGACAGAGGCATGCCCCTCTCGCATTCGAGCTCCTGCAGGACCGACCCTGGCGTGGAAAGAGGGAGGGTGGCACAGAAGCAATGCTCCTCGCTACTAGTAGTAGGTAGGACCGTAAGACGCAGTGCTGGAGGGCGGTGGCGACACATCTCCCACCCACTTTCTGCCTGGACCAGCTCAAGGGCAGGACTGGCATGGAAAACGTTTAAGGGGACAACGTGCATGTGAAGGATGCTGCTCATCCTAGAGAAGCAGTCACATTGTGACACTGTCACCCTGACTGGCAGTCAGGGACGCGTTTTGGCTACTCCTTGTCCACAGGAAGCCCAGCCGGGTGGATGGGAAAGGGCAGATTGCGCATGCAGGACGCACGTCATGGGGTGGTGAGTGTTACAAGCATGCAGGACGCACGTCATGGGGTGGTGAGTGTTACAAGCATGCAGGACGCACGTCATGGGGTGGTGAGTGTTACAAGCATGCAGGACGCACGTCATGGGGTGGTGAGTGTTACAAGCATGCAGGACGCACGTCATGGGGTGGTGAGTGTTACAAGCATGCAGGACGCACGTCATGGGGTGGTGAGTGTTACAAGCATGCAGGACGCACGTCATGGGGTGGTGAGTGTTACAAGCATGCAGGACGCACGTCATGGGGTGGTGAGTGTTACAAGCATGCAGGACGCACGTCATGGGGTGGTGAGTGTTACAAGCATGCAGGACGCACGTCATGGGGTGGTGAGTGTTACAAGCATGCAGGACGCACGTCATGGGGTGGTGAGTGTTACAAGCATGCAGGACGCACGTCATGGGGTGGTGAGTGTTACAAGCATGCAGGACGCACGTCATGGGGTGGTGAGTGTTACAAGCATGCAGGACGCACGTCATGGGGTGGTGAGTGTTACAAGCATGCAGGACGCACGTCATGGGGTGGTGAGTGTTACAAGCATGCAGGACGCACGTCATGGGGTGGTGAGTGTTACAAGCATGCAGTGCAGTGCGAGAAGGGTAACAGTGGCGTAGGGGGAGAGGTTTGAAGGGGGGGAGAAAGGGAGGGGAGGGGAGAGGGCAGGGGGAAGGAGACGAGAGGGGGACGGGGAGGAGGGAGTGGAGGGTGGGAGGTGGGGGTGGAGGGTGGGAGGACGGAGTGGAGGGTGGGAGGAGGGGGTGGAGGGTGGGAGGTGGTTGTGGAGGGTGGGAGGAGGGGGTGGAGGGTGGGAGGAGGGGGTGGAGGGTGGGAGGTGGTTGTGGAGGGTGGGAGGAGGGGGTGGAGGGTGGGAGGTGGGGGTGGAGGGTGGGAGGTGGTTGTGGAGGGTGGGAGGTGGGGGTGGAGGGTGGGAGGAGGGGGTTCTGTGTCGCCGAGCTTTCACAAGAGTTAAAAAGCCTACCGCTGCGCATCTGAACTACTCCCGTTTTGGCCCGATGGTCTACGACGGGGCGTTAAAAAAGGGCTGGGAGAGGGGGGGGCATGGCGTCCTTACCCCCCCTTCTATCCCTGCCTCGCTGTTGAAATCAAACCCCCTCTCCTTCCGCACGCTGACCCATGGCAGAGGGGTGACAGCAGCTGCTGTGTTGAGTGTCAGGCTGACAACGCCCTTTTCCCATCCGAGAATGGTCACAAGACGCCCACTCTCGCGAACAGGCGCATCTAGTCGTTGGAGACCTCGTTGGTCTGTTTCCATCTGGGTAGTAATACCCCACTTGGAACCTCGAGGAACTTTGTGCAAACAAGGAGGGACAAGGGAAAAGGGCCGGGGAGAATACTGGGTAACGAGTTTGGGAAGGGGAGGGCGTGACAGCCTTCCAAAACTTTGGCATTCGCTAAGCTTCTTACATTGAGCGCTTTTAACCTTGGCAGCACAGGTCCCAGGCAGCAGGGGAAGCGGTGAAACCACCGTGAGGGCGATGATTGCGACAGTGATGCCCTGGCGATAATACCCGTGGAGCGGATAGTGTCTCTGCTGCTTGTGGCGCTGCGGGAACTGCTGCCGCCTGCCGTGGGTGCTGCTGCTGGTGATGCTGGGATTGCTGTGAGAGATCGCCGTCATGCTGTGGTCGGTCTGTGTGGGTTAGTTGTAATGGTTTCTCTGTGTGCTCGGGTCCAATCACACGATGAGCCAGATGCACATTCCCAAAGCATGATGCTGCCGCTGCCGCCGCTGCCGCTGCGCGACGATGCTGACCCGTTCGAACCGAATGTGCGTGTTGACTAAGTCTAACGTCGCGAACCTTACCAGCGATGACACGAGTGGAAGTAAAGAAAACCAAGAGATTCTGTCGAAAAACAAGAATCAAGAATCCGCGCGAAACCGCGCGAATAAGGGGGATCAAAGAAGTCTCAACTGTCATGATTCCCCAATCACGAATGCAGTGCAGAGACAGCACAGCGCAGAATCTCTACAACTCATCTTGCTCAGGCACTGGGGTTATCCTTCTCATCTATCCTCTATTGCTCGTAATTCCCTTGGCTTTCTCAACGTGCAGATGCTATTTCAATTCACATCAAAACGAAGAGCCCTTACTCCAACATCTGTGGAATCTCTATGTTCTGTCACCCTGTGACAGTGTTTGTGTGCCACAGGCCAAATTCATTCCCGCCTAACCAGCGGAGTTGGAATCCTTGTTTTTTCGAACGGCGATACTTAATATTCCACAGGGAAATAAACTGTTTATCCAGGAAAAGGACTGTGTCTACATCACATGAAACCTCGTTTCGGTTTGGAAGGTTCTGGGATGCCATTCAACAACTTTTGCACGTCACAGATTTCCAACCAAAACTTTCTGACGGAAAAACGTTGTTGGCCATCTGGCAGAAACGGACAAACCAGAGGTTCGTTTTGGGTCATCCAAACTTTTTGAGTCCTCACAGCGCGTCACTCTGGCTGGAGTTCTCGGTCACCGCACCAGTGGTGCGGAGGTCGCTTTCCTACAGTAGTGCCTTCAACCAATTCTTGGCTGAGCTGGCAAAACGCGAAGGCACGCGTGGGAAAAATCTCGTTTACCAGCTCAACGGGAAAATGGTCTGGCAAAATTGAACCGAGGGTGACTCTCCCCCTCCATAAAGATGGCCGTTTTGTGGCCGTGGTGCGCCAGAACAGCGCCTCTATCACAAGTGGGTTTCATCAGCCAAAATCCATCACGAATCGTCTCGTCACCCGTTATTAGTAATATCAATCTATCACACAGTCACACATGCATGATGTAAACTATATATGATGCGGGTGTTAAACGACACCATGTGGAAATGGACCCGCAAATACAGTGTTGTATTTGTCTCTTACCGCTGTATGCGCGCGAGGATATCCTGCCTCTCCTATTCCCCTGCGACAGAATGCGAACCGAGCAATGGCCCCGGCGATGCCGACGCGTCGGCTGCCGTGGAATGCTGCGATGGCTCGACGCGGTACCCCTCGCGCTGGCTCTTTTATCTTCTCACTTCCTCGATTCAGTTCTCGCATATGCGGCAAAGCGAGGCGGCTTACCTCACCGCTTCAAGAAAGAATCCGATTTGGAATCTCCGGAAATTGCGGATATCTCGGTGATTACGGAGGTTCCAAAGATTCAGAATCCGCAACGGCTTTATTCCACATCCACCTCGTTCGAAGTGTTATCGAATCCGCTTTTAACGAGTACAAGAATACGGAGAAGAACGAGAAGAGGCATCAGCAATGGCGTCAGCAGCAGCGCAGCAGCCAATGAGCCACGCCACAGAATCAAATCGTCGCGGCAACGAGCCTCACGGCAGCGGCCAGCGGCGCACGTGACAGCCCGCGGAGAGGTTCCCCTGGGCGCAGACGCGGCGGGCGCGGGGGAAACGCGCGCGGGGAGCGGCTGGCGGGGTTCCGGTGGCAGGCGGTTGGCAGAGGCGGTGGAGACCGGGGGCGCAGTGGTGGGGCGAGTGGAGGCGCTGGAGGAGGAGCTAGCGCGGGTGAACGGAGGAGGGAGCTTGAGCGGGACACAGATGGGGGATGCAGCAGTGGGTGGAGCAGCAGCGAGTGCAGTATCGATTGCAATGGCAAGTGCAGCAGCACCGGTGTTGCCAGCAGGTCATGTGGATGTGGAAACACCGGAGGGCCGTACCTTGGCTCCTGCTGCTGCCCCTGCTGCCGTAGCAACAGCACCGACTCCAGCAGCAGCAGCGGAAGCCGAATCGCTGACCTCTAATGCGGCTGCTGGTGTAGCAGTAGATGGCAGTGCTGCTGACAGTAGTAGCAGCGGCAGCGGCAGCGGCAGCGGCAGTGGCAGCGGCAGTGGCAGTGGCAGCGGTGACGGTGGCAGCATATTGACTCCTCTGTCCACACCAGAGGCACCAGCGCCGCTACCAGCGGTATCAGTGCCTTTACCGGAAGTGAGACAAGACTGGTGCGTGAGCGATTGTGCATGTGTGTGTTTGTGTGTGTGGGAGGGAGGGGGGGACGGGTTGATGGTGATTTGAGAGCAGCCATATTGAGGAAAGAGCATAGCCTCTGCTGCTTGATCTGATGGCAGGGGTATTCTCCACTCCACAGGCCCCGTTCCCCCACTCCCTCCTCCCTCTCCAATCATCCTCTCCTTCAAATCCTCCCTCTCCCTCTGTTGTTGAGTCTTTCTCGCACCATCGGCCTTTGCCCTTGGTATTTTCCTCCTTCATTTGCAGTTCCCTGTCTTGCACCAACAGCCAGTCACCACCAACTCCCCCCACCCCGCTCCCCACCAACCACCACCATGTGCGTGCCAAACCCCATACCGCAACCATTCTCACAACCCCCCACCCCACGTCACCACCCCCCACCCCATCACCACCACACCCCACCACCACGCCACCAGGGGTCGCAACGTGACGCAGCAGCAGAAGGAGGCGGAGGAGCGCACCAAGGTGCAGAGCGGTGCGTGCAGCGAGTTCAAGCTGCTGTACCGCGGTGGGTGGCGCGAGGGGCAGCTGGCCTGGGTGCCACAGCCTGACCGCTACTTGCTCCTGGACTGCCACAAGCACCAGGTGGGACGGGGAGAGAGAAGGGGGGAAGGAGGGCGGAGTGAGGGGACGGTGGGCATGGGGAATATTGGGGCACAGAGGCAAAGGGAAGAGTGGGTGCCTCAGCCCGACCGCTACATGCTCTTGGACTGCCACAAGCACCAGGTGGGAAGCGGTTGGGGGGGGTGGGGGACTGGAGAGTGCGGAAGGCCGGCTTGGGTGCATGAGGTATAGCTCGGGTCTGGGGGCAACACGAGGGGCAGCTGGCTTGGGTGCATGAGGTATAGCTCGGGTCTGGGGGCAACACGAGGGGCAGCTGGCTTGGGTGCCACAGCCCGACCGCTACATGCTCTTGGACTGCCACAAGCTCCAGGTGGGAAGGGGTTGAAAGGGGGGAGGGGTGGAGGGGGCACGGTACTCCCGTGTGCTTGCACTGGGTGCTTTGTGCTCTCAAAATGACTTTTGAGTCGACTCAAAAGTCGTGCTCCCGTGTGCTTGCACTGGGTGCTTTGTGCTCTCAAAATGCACACTCTACGCTCCTCACCATCCTCTGTCATTCGTCTAGTGCCCCTCCCCGCCCCTAACTTTCCCCCCGGTCCCCGTCCTCTCCCGTTCCGCCTCCCCTCCTATCCCACTGCTCCTCGTCCTTCCCACCTGCCACAAACAAGCTCCTCCCTACTCCTGGATCTGATCCGTCTTCAACACTTGCCCCTCCATTGTCCCCCCTCTCCTCCTTTCCCCCCATCCCCCCCTCCTCCTCCACTCCCCCTTCCTCTGCTAGAAAGTAAGAAGTTGTATTGATTAATGAGCCAAGAGGTTCTATATTACAAGCAAGGAGCAAGAGAGGAGTGAAAAGGAAGCTAACCCTATTGGCCACTGACTTGGCCAATGAATGAGTTTGCTTGTAGCCCAAGCAACCACAATTGTGAGTTAGTGGGTTGAGATTGGTGGGGTTAAGGACCAAACGGTGGCAAGGACCAAGGACCAAGGGCCCATGAACCCCCCAATAGAACAAATGACTACACCCGATAATCTAGCCGATGGATGTTGTATAAATTATAAGATTACAACATCCTCCCCCACTCCCCCCTCCTCACTTCCTCCCCTCCTCCCGTCCTCATTTCCTCACTTCCTCCTCTCCTTCCCTCCTCTCGCCCCCCTTCCCACCCCTCCCCCCACAGCTGAGCAACAGGGTGCTGTGCATGCGGCACAGCATGATAGCAGCGGGCATGCTCAACCGCACGCTCGTCGTGCCCATGAGCACACCCCTCGTGCCAATAGCTCCCACCTTTATGCCCCATCTTCTGTCTGCTTTCCGTTTCCCTGTACCGGCCTTCATCAACAATTTCTCGCTCCATCCTCTCCTCCCTTCCTCCCTTCCTCCCTTCCTCCCTTCCTCCCTTCCTCCCTTACTCCCCATCACTCCCCGCAGCTGAGCAACAGGGTGCGGTGCATGCGGCACAGCATGATAGCAGCGGGCATGCTCAACCGCACGCTCGTCGTGCCCATGCGCACACCCCTCGTGCCGCGCCACTACGACCGCCGCGCCTTCCTGCACCTGCCCCACACGCACCGCTGCTACGGGCCCCTCTCTGTCATCTCCTGGGAAGACCTGCTGGGGAGGATGCGCGCAGGTGGAGCGGCTGGGGGAGGGGCGAGTGGAGGGGCGGGTGGAGGGGCGGGAAGGGGGCCGTCAATGGTGGTGGTGGGGGAAGGGGAGGTGGTGGGTGGAGGAGGGGACGCCAATGGTGGTGCTGGGGGGGTTGACACATCCAACAGCAGTGGGGACAGCACCGGTCGAAGCACCAACAGCAGCAGTGCCAACAGCAGTGCCACAAATGGCAGTGTAACTGCTAGCACTACCAGCAGCAGCAGCAATAGCAACAGCAGCGTGGCAGTGCTAGACCAAGTCATCTGCATTCGAGAGCAATGCTACAATCAACCCGGATGGGGCTCACCAGACCGCCTCCCGGACCTACCAGGCCTCTCCCTCTCGCCCACTCTCACCATCACCACCGCCCCCTTCCCTGCAGGACCCATAGACACGCGTGCTTTCACCAACCTCTCTGCTCTCATCCGCCCCTCCTCACGCATCATTGTGCTTGGCGACTTGGCTGCTTTCAATCTCGAGGGGCCTCGGGGAATGGATGTTCCGTTCTTTACACTCCCGGGGTGTGGGAACACTCTGGCAATACACCCTCACCCGGCGATTCTGGAAGCCGCAGATCGGTTTATCCGGGGGGTGATTCTCGGTGGAAAGAGGCGGTGGTGGGAGGATGCAGAGGAGAGAGAGGCGGCGAGCATGAATACGAGTACAGCGGCAGATGACTCTAAGGGAAAGGCTGACAGCGGCAGCAATGGCAGCAACACGAGCAATGAGAGCAACGGGAGCGGTGGGAGCAGCAGAGCGAGCAACAGGACGCTGTGGGCGGTGGGAGACAGTGCAGCGGACGAAGCAGCAGGTGTGGCGCGGTACATAGCGGTGCACTGGAGGCGCACGGACCTGGTGCAGCTGTCCAAGGACCCCTGGGTGCACCTCCCTGTGGCCCGCGTGGGGGCGTGCCTCGTGCAGCGCATGCGGCTGTCTGGGAATATCACCCGGATGTTCCTGGCTACAGACACGGATGAGGGAGAGGTGAGTGAGTGGCGGGTTAGGTGTGTGGGCTGAGTCAACTCAAAAGCACACATGCGGCTGTCTGGAAATATTACAAGGATGTTCCTGGCTACAGACACGGATGAGGGAGAGGTGAGTGAGTCATGGGATGGGTGTATGGGCTGGTTGCTTTTTGAGTCGACTCAAAAGCACATGCGTCTGTCCGGGATTAATACAATTATACAAGGACGTTCCTGGCGCTACTCAAACGGATGAGGGAGAGGTGAGTGAGGTATGGGATGGGTGCGCGGGCTGGTTGGTTTGATAAGTCGATTGAAATGTGCATGTCCCTGTCTGGGAACATTTCAAGGATGTTTCTGGCTATAGACACGGATGAGGGAGAGTGTCAGTTTTGAGGTTACCATTTGCTTTGCTTGGGTGCAAGAGCATTGGGGTTCAGTTTTGGGTTGAGCCAAAAGGAATAAAGCAGGTGTGTGGCAAGTGCGGGTGCAGGTGTGTGGCAAGTGCGGGTGCAGGTGTGTGGCAAATGCGGGTGCAGGTGTGTGGCAAATGCGGGTGCAGGTGTGTGGCAAGTGCGGGTGCAGGTGTGTGGCAAATGCGGGTGCAGGTGTGTGGCAAATGCGGGTGCAGGTGTGTGGCAAGGTTTGCTGTGAAGCAATCTCGTGGTTGTTCGGATGGGGTGCGGTCAGGTTCAGGTGCCGTGGTTTATCAGAATCTGTGCATGACAGTATTCTTGAAAGCAGGCAAGGCAGCAGAGTTAGTTGCAGGCTTGGAACAGGAGCAGACATACTGCAGCAAACGCAAACCAGCGAGCGCAGGGTACGCGGGAGAAATGAGCATCAGTTGGTGTGTGTTTGCTGTGTTTGTTGTGTTCCGCATCCCTGTTGTTGATCTCACCACCTTGTCTCTGCTTCTGTGCTGTGCCCTTCCCTTGGTGTGGGCTGTACCACTCAGGTTGAACCACTGGTGAAGTTTATCAAGGAGCGAATTCCGTCCTTTCAACTTTTCAGACTGCCCGAATCCTTAGATTCCCAACCATGGGCGGATGTGATAAAACCGTTTGAATTTGATGATGAAGTGACAGTGCGAGCTACACTAGACAAGGCGATATGTGCAATGGCGGATGTGTTTCAGGGCACGCATGCATCATCCTTTTCAAGTGATATAACGAGGATTAGAGCAGGGCTGAGACTATCGTCTTGTGAGGATTCTCTCCTGTGTGAAGATAAAATTCATGAACCATGATGTACCGGTATTTGTTATTGTAGGCACTAGGTTAATTTTTGGTGTAGCATCCCGTATCAGCTTGACAATGGGCTTAGGTGCTGTAGGAAAATGGTGCAAATAACTGTTATATTTGTACGAGTATGCTGCGGTACAAATTCCTGAAGAACCCAAGGATTAGGTGTCAGTTTCTAACTCTTGACACACATCTTGATCATCCCAAGGTTATAATCGTCAGCAATAGGATTGAAACGAGTCTCTGTCTAGCGGAGTATTGTTGGCGGAGTATTGTTGGTCTAGCGGAGTATAATTGGCTACCTTGTTGCCCATTCCTTCCCTCTTGGTCCTCCATCCCTCGCTCATTTCTCACCTCCGCATCCTCGAATTTCGCGCCATTTGATGCATTCGCAGCCGTGTCCGCTCCACACGCACTCTCAGTAGGATTTCACACGGATCGGAATCTCCCCATTTTTGGCAACAGCGCGCACGAGCCCGCTAGTCACGCGAGAATGGCGAAGCGCAAGCCGTCGCACGAACCTGGGTATCCCCATGGCGACGGAGACGGCACGTATCATGGCGAAGAGCCTTTTTCGCTCTTTCCCGATTCGACCGCTTCCGCTAACCATGCGCCCTCCTCGTCTTCCCCCTCTCAGCTTCTTCGGTGTGAGCAGCGTCGTCCCGGCCACTTAGCCTACCACCCCCTTCCTCCGCACGACGCGCTCGATTTCCTCGCGTTCCTGGATCGCACGCCGCCGTGCGACGTCGCGCGTCTCTTTCGCGAGCTCCTGCGCGACATGGCGATGCGAAACCTGCGCGACTTCCACTTGAGGATCGACGGCGAGTCGCGCGGGCGCGGTGGGGGGCGGGGAGGAGGCGGAGGAGGGCGGGGAGGAAGCGGACGGGGATGGGGGGGACGCGGAGGCGGGCGCGGACGAGACGGGGGCGGTGGGGGCTATCACTCTCATCACAGGGGCCAGGGTCCGCCGTTCAGGGGGGAATGGGCAGGCGGGGAATTTCCGCCAGGTGGCGGGGGCGGAAGGTGGGGCGCAGGCGGGGGCGGGGGCGGGGGCGGGGGCGCGCAAGAGCAGAGGGTGTTTGTGGTGGAGGTGATGTTTGGGGAGCAGCACGAGGGGCCCGTGGCCGTGGACGTGCCACAGGGCTGCATCGCATGTAACCCCCTTGCACCGCTCTTCACCACTGCCCCTGTCCCCGCTGCAGACGCTGCTGCTGGCGCTGCTGCTGGCGGTGACAAGAGCGCAGGTGCAGGTACAGGCGCTGGCGGAGAGTCAGGAAGAAGCGCGGAGAAAATCCCGCGAACGTCGGGGGAATTTGGGGATGGTGGAGATGGTTCCAAGGCGGTGAGTGACGAGCAACGGGATGGGCGAGAGGAAGGGGAGAAGGGTGACAAGGGAGACCCAGCGGCGACAGCAGCAGCAGCAACAGTAGAAGCAGGAGGAGAAGCAGCAACAGCAGGAGCATCAGAGGCGGTAGAAGCTGAAGCAGCAGCAGGAGGACAAGCAGGGGAAGGAGGAGGCAGCGACGCAGTGATGACATCAGGCGACCTGATCCTACGCGAGTACGAGGCCAACCAGCCACACGTGCGCGTGTCCCTGGACGCACAGGGCCGTGCAGGGCTCATCATAACCCCCGTACGCCACGTGGAGTCTCTATCCGAGCTCAATGACTCGGAATTATACGAATTTTTCCACACGGCGGCTGCTGCAGTGCAGAAAGAGAAGGTCGTGTTCTCACGCATGGTGGTGAACCACGGGTCGTATCGCAACCTGCCGCATCTGCACCTCAAGGTGTTTTTAGACGAGGGGTCGTTTGAGGCGGCGAAGCGAGGGTGGGAGGGGGAGCGGGTGGTGATGTGGGAGAAGCTGATGCGGCTGCGGCCGGCCAAGACTGCGTTTGTGTGTAAGGCGTTTGCGCGAGGGCGGTGCCGGTTTGGGAGCAATTGTAGGAACTTGCACAGTACAGCCGGGTCAAGTTAGTACGGTCGGTACACTTTCTCCGTCACTACCGCGAAAGCAGTTGAGGTACGGTAGGTAGCAGGCATGCACCTTGATTCCCACCCACTCACCACCCTCTTTAATCTCGGCCCTAGTGTTGCAGGTGTGTCCTGCCCAGCTGGAGAATCAACCCCCTTTCCTCGACAAGTTTTTTTGTGACGACAGTAAGGCTCAGCAGCAGCAGCACACAGCAGTGACGAACGCATTTTCCCAGATGTAGGACCTTGCAGAATTTTGATAGAAACAATGTAGGTACCGGTACTTCCATTTACAGTACAGGTTCCACAGTTCCAGAAGGTGCAAGGCAATTCTCGCTCATTTCCTCCATTGCTTTGTAACACACAATCGTTTGTGAACTACTACAGCATTGTACCTTCATCGCACTGTTAGAGCGTATTCCTACACCTCGTATCAAGCGAACCTCTTATCAGGCTCACACTGAAAATCCCCCTAAATCCACAAGAACGATTGCAGCTATACCACTAGAGTGGCCCTGGAGTCACAACTACTGCAGGGAAAGTGTCCTGAATAAACCCTTCAACATCTTCTGCTCCTACTGCAATCTTCTGCAGGTACGGAAGGCCCTTGAGCCAGCTAACACCGCGCGCAGTAATCCTAGCATCCTGCATCCCCAGCTTCACCAACAGCTTCATATTCCTGAGATACTTCATACCAGAGTCAGTCACTCCAGGAGGCAGAATGAGGTTATTCAGCGAGGTGAGGGTCGTCAGATGCACCAACCCATCCTCCCTCACTCCCCCCTTGTGCAGTGTAAGCGCTCGTAACGCTGTCAGCCTCCCCACATGCACCATACCGGCAGAGGTAACCGACGGACACCTGCCAAGGTGCAGCTCCGTGAGTGCAGGCAACCCCTCCAGCCTGGCAATACCAGCATCCGTGACTGGGCTGTTTTCAAGAACAAGCGCCTGCAGGCTCGTCACGCGGTCAATACCTTCAAGAGCAGCGTCTGTGCATGAGCCCATGAGATTTAGATACTCGAGTTCTGGCAGGGAGTAGAGCTGCCGCACCCCCGCAGCAGAGAAACCTGAGGAGTTTCTGAGGTTTATGGAGATGAGGTGGTGGAACGAGGCGAGGCGAGCGAGAGCCGCGTCTGTGAGGCAAGAGATGCGGCTGAGGTTCATTGTTGCCTGCTGCTGCGGGGATGTTCTGGCCCAGAGCGTGAGCAGCACCTGCAGGCACACAGCATGGGTGGGTGGCGGTCAGCAGGAGTGAAGAGGGATGAGAGGGGTGAGAGGGGTGAGAGGGGTGAGAGGGACAAGATTCGTGTGTACTACCTACTACCATCAACGTTTCCCATGTGCTGCTGCTGTGCATGCTCCCACGTGCCCGTATGCATGTCCTCCTCACGCATGCCACATAGCCAAATTGTCCAACCATTTGAAGAACTTGCATCATACATGCTCACTCACTCTCATACGTGTCACTTTGCCAGTGGTGGCAGCACCTGTCTCTAAGAGAGAAACAAAAAGGCATGCACTCACCTCCCATACCCTCCCTCTGTCAATACCACTCTCCTCCACATTCACCACTCTGCGCAGCAGCCCATCCATCGCCTTCTGTAGTCCCGACAGGGCTGCCTTGGTTTCTCCCTCATCGCATTCTCCATCACAGGCAACGCGATTGGCAATGAGTGCGCAACCGCCCGCAGCAGCATGTGCCATCTCCTCCGCCTTCCCCGCTTCATCCCGCTTCCGCTTCTTCCCCTCGGGCGTCCCCGCTCCCGCGACTTCTTCCGCGCGCTCCATCTCCGCGCGCGCCTTCTCCCGCGCGCTCTTCCACTCCGCCACCGCCAGCTCGACTTCGTTCATCCGCGCCTCGGTGTGCGCCGCCGTCGCGCGCACGTACGCCACTTCCGCCGCCTGCCGTTCCGCCGCAGCCCTCATCCGCGCGATCTCCGCCTTCAGCGTGCCCACCGCGTCTGCCGCCTCCCTCCGCACCGCCTCCATCTGCTCCTTCAACCCCTCCACCTCCGACTCATACTCACTCCTTACTCCAAGTAACGGCGGGACTCTTATGTTGCTCCGCTCAGAAAGCTGCGCCGGGAGGCTGTCCCCTGCTTCCCCTGCCGCCGCACTCTCCGCCCCGCCCTTGCCCTTCGCCGTCTCCCCTTGGCTGCCCGTCGCCAACGCATCTTTCGCCGCTGCGCCCTTCGCCGCGTCGGCATTCGCCATCGCGCGTTTCATTTCGTCCACCTCTCGCTTGAGAGCAGCCGTGGCCTCCTCTTGCTGCGCCAGCTTTGCCGCTAGTTGCTCTACTCGCTCCGCCATTCCTCCTTCTGCCGTCTCCCTCACCATCCCACCCACGACCTCCCCCGGTCGCACCTTCACGGGCACTCCGCTCACCATCTGCGCCATGCCTCCCGCCATCGCCATTAGCAATGATCGCGACCGTACGAATGTCGAATCAGAAACACCAAGTGTTGTCGCACAGTACGACCCGTGGGGCAAGTGTCAGGGACGTAGGCGGTTTGAAATTGGTTAGAGCTGGCTTTGCGTGGCTTCTCGGAAGCATTCCTCCAAGTAATTCGTATCGTATTATGTGGGCATGACGGTTATGACATGTCAGAGGATGCTTTGAAGCACGCTTGTTCGTGCTGAACTGATTGTTTCCGGACTGAGTTGTTGCCGTTGAGGTTCCTCCTAAAGCATGTCCAATATTGCAGCATGTGCCCAGCGAGTTTGATAAATTTATTAGGCAGGCACGCTGTGGGGCAGCGTCACGTTCTCCCGATTTAGCGATGCAGCCGCATCTTCGATTGAGCGAGATGTCTCGAATGAAAGTCGCTGCGCGCTACGCATCCCGATTTTTTCGGGTTGATGATTTATTGAGAATGTGCTGCACTAACGAGGACATAAAGGGGTAAATAAATGTGTAACTGTAAGAATCACCTACACTACAATCGCAATTTTCAACTCTAATCCCTACAAAATGCCCTTAGGGGTATGTCTGATGGAATGCGTTAAGTTCTGCTGTTGTTTCTTTACAACGACGCTCCTGTCTATCTTCCAATTAGTCATCACATTTGCCACACACCTAAATAAAAAGGCACTAGCCATACGACTAGAGTGGCCCTGGAGTTACAACTATTGCAGGGAAAGTGTCCTGAATAAACCCTTCTACATCTTCTACTTCTGTCGCAATCCTCTGCAGGCACGGAAGGCCCTTGAGCCAGCCAACGCCGCGTGCAGTGATCTTCGCATCCCACAACCCCAGCTTCTCCAGCCGCTTCATATTTCTCAGGTACTTGATGCCAGAGTCAGTCACTCCAGGAGGCAAAGTGAGGTGATTCAGTGCGGTGAGGGCAGTGAGGTTTCCCAGCCCATCCTCCCCCACCCCTCCGTCATGCAGCGCAAGCTCCTGTAAAGCCGTCAGCTTCCCCACATGGACCATACTGGCAGACGTAACAGACACACACCCACCAAGGTGCAGCTCAGTAAGAGCAGGCAGCCCTTCCAGCCTAGCAACCCCAACGTCCGTGATCTTGCTGTTGTCTAGAATCAGCGCGCGCAGGCTCGTCACGTGGTCAATACCTTCCAGAGCAGCGTCTGTGATGCACGAGCCTGAAAGGTCCAGATGCACGAGGTCTGGGAGAGAGTAGAGCGCCCGCACCCCCGCGGCAGTGAAGCCAGAGGAGTCCTCGAGAGTGACGGTTGTGAGCTGGCGGAACGTGGCGAGGCGGGTGAGAGCCGCGTCTGTGAGGCAGGAGATGCCGCTGAGGTCCATTGCGGCCTGCTGCGGCGCTGTCTTGGCCCAGAGCAGGAGCAGCACCTGCAGGCACGGCATGGGTGGGTGGTCAGGAGTGGAGAGAGATGCGAGGGATGATTGGGATGATTGGGATGATTGGGATGACTGGGATGAGGGAGATGAGGGAGTAAAGAGTGAGCTAGACTCTGGAGCTTCATGTTTACCGCCAGCCTTTGACCCTCTTTGACAGACCATGCTGCTGCGCATGCACTCCCATGTGCCACATGCCTGCCCTCACGCATGCCACATAACCATATGACCATAACCATATGTCCTTCGTCCAACCATCCGAGGAACACGCGTCGCCTCATACGAGTTGGACATGCGCGCTCTCATGCATGCCACGCCACTTGCCAATGGAGGCGAAAGTTGTTTCTAGGAGATCACAAAGCTCATGCACACTCACCTCCCATACCCTCCCTCTGTCGATACCACTCTCCTCCAGCGCAACCACTCTATTCAGCAGACAGTTCACCGACTTCTGCAGCAGGGAAGCCCCGGTTTCCCCTCCATCGGAAGCACCGCGATTGGCAATGAGTGCGCAACCTCCCGCAGCAGCATGTGCCATTCCCCGCCTCCTCCCGCTTCCGTTTCTTCCCCTCGGGCGCTTCCACTCCTGCATGCTCCCCCGCGCTTCCGCCGGGCAGGCTGTGCTCTGCGCCCTCCATCTCCGCACGCGTCTTCTCCCGCGCGCTCTTCCACTCCGCCACCGCCAGCTCCACGTCGTTCATCCGCGCCTCAGTGTGCGCCGCCGTTGTGCGGACGTACGCCACTTCCGCCGAAAGCCGCTCCGCCGCAGCCCCCATCCGCGCAATCTCCGCCTTCAGCGCGCCCACCGCGGCTGCCCTCCTCACCACCTCAACGTGCTCCTCCATCCCCTCCATCTCAGACTCAAGCTCACTCCTTACTCTATTCACGTGCTCCTTTATAAGGCTGTCCAGTAACGGGACAAGATTCGTCCGCTCGGAAGTCTGTGCGGGGAGGCTGTCCCCTGCCTTCCCCGCCGCTGCACTTTCCGCCCCACAATTGCCGTTTGCCGCTCCCTCCTGCCTCCCCGTGTCCCACGCCCCTTTCGCCGCTGCGCCCTTCGCCGCTTCGGCCTTCGCCATCGCCATCGCGCGTTTCATTTCGTCAACCTCTCTCTTGAGAGCAGCCGTGGCCGCTTCCTGCTGCGCCAGCTTCGCCGCTAAATGCGCTACTCGCGCCGCCATGATCCCTCCAGCTGCCTCCCTCCCCATCCCACCCGAGACTTCCGCCGGTAGCACCTTCACGGGCACCCCGTTCACCATCCGCACCATGCCTCCCGCCATCGCCATTCGCAATCGCGAACGTACGAAAGTCGAATCAGAAAGACGGTACGACTGGTGGGGCAAGTATCAGGGGCGTAGGCGGTTGAAATTGGTTAGAGTTGGCTTGCCTGGCTTCCCGTACGCATTCCTCCAAGTCGTTCGTGTTGTATTATTTGGGCATGACAGCTATGACATGTCAGAGGATGCTTTGAGGAATGCTTGTTCGTCTTGAACTGATTGTTTCGGGACTGTGTTGTTGCCGCCTAAAGCGTCTACCCAGCATTGTTTCGATTCAAACGCCATCACGTTCTCCCGTTTAGCGATGCAGCAGCATTTTCAAATTAGCGACGCGTCTCGAATGGAAGTCACTGCGCTACGCATCCCGTTTTTTACGGGTTGCGGATTGTTCTGGAAGGGTGCTGCACTAACGAGAAAAATAAGAGGGAAAATGTGTGAAGCTGTAAGTATTGATATTGTAAATTTGTTTTGTGTACCATTCTAAAAGAAACGTACTGTAAAAGCAAACACGTGGCCAGGAGAGGTAGCGTGGAAATAATTATCAACATTTTTTTTTCCTCTCATGCATTTACTTGTGCTGCATCGTATCTCTCTTTTTTGCCTCATTTGTGCAATCATCTTTCCCTCTTACCATTGCAATGTTAACACGTTCAATTTAAAGAAGCATCTGTAAGTCTAATGCTTTGTGGACTTTGCTAAACCGGAGATGTGACAGCCCTAGAATGTTCCTCGAGCAAGTCACATTCTTGGAATATGCGGGTCCAACGAGTTCACCTTCGTTCGTTCTGTGCGGTTACGCTTGCTGCGTCACGGTGCAAAACGGTGAGACTTGATAACCACCGTGCACCGTCTAGAATCGTTTTGCGCCATGGCGGAAAAACTGAAAACAAACGCACTGGACCCGCCCTAAACGCGCCTCTTTGAAATGGCATGCTGGTGACTAACTTTGGTGCCTACTTGCCAAGGCTAGTGGGCTCACATCTTGCCCAATTTTGTGTCACGCCTACTCCTAACGCTTCCCCTAGTAACTCGACGTTCGTACGGTCACGATTGCAACGGGCAATAACGGGAGCCATGTCACACGGAGAGACGGTCAGTGAGGCAGCAGGAGGAATGGAGACGCGAGTAGAGCAGTTAGCAACGAGGCTGATGCAGCAGGAGGAGGCCATGGCTGCTCTCAAGAGCGAGGTTGACGAACTGAAACGCGCGATGGTGAAGGTCGCAGAAGCGAACGGCGCAGAGGCAAAGGGCGCAAATGCAACGGGCGCAGAAGCAGAGGGCGCAGAGGCAGTGTGCGCAGAAGCGACGGACGCGGCGAAGGGCGCAGCGGCGAAAGGGGCGTTGGAGACGGGCAGTTAGCGACGGGCGCGGTGAGCGCGCTGAAGGCGGAGATTGCGCTGATGAAGGTTGCGGCGGAGCGCCAGGCGGCGGAGGTGGCGTACGTGCGCGCAACGGCGGCGCACGTTGAGGCGCGGATGAACGACTTGGAGCTGGCGGTGGCGGAGTGAAAGAGCGCGCGGGAGAAGGAGCGCGCGGAACGCAACCAGGCCGGGGGAAGCGCGGGGGAGCAAGCAGGAGCGGAGGGGCGCGAGGAGGATTTGGCGCCAGCTGCAGCGGGCGGTTGCGCACTTATCGCCAATCGCGGTGCTTCCGATGGAAAGCAGGCTAACATGTCGGGACTGAGAGCGGTGGTGGATGGTCTGCGGTGCAGAGTGGTGAAGCTGGAGAAGAATAGTGGCAAAGGAGGGAGGGTATGGGAGGTGAGTGCATGTGTTGTTTTGTTTTTTTCCAGGCAGCTGCTGCCACCACTTGCATGTGACATGAGAGCGTGCATGTATAGTGCGATAGATGACCCTGGTGGTTTTACGCACACGAGAAGATGCAGTATGTGGTAAGCATGAGGACATCCATGTGGCACATAGGAGCATGTGCAGTAGCATGTTGAATGGCTGATGGTACACATGACGCTCATGATTCTCATCCCTCTCCTCCTTCTCACCCCTCTCATCCCTCTCACCCCTCTCATCCCTCTCATCCCTCTCATCGCTCTCACCCCTCTCATCCCTCTCATCCCTCTCTACTCCTAACCGCCCACCCATTTCTTTGCCTGCAGCTGCTGCTCACGCTCTGGGCCAGAACAGTGCCAGAGGAGACTGAAATGGACCTCAACGGCATCTCCTGCCTCACAGATGCGGCTCTCACTCGCCTCACCACGTTCCGCACCTAACAACCGTCAGCCTTGACAACTCCTCTGGCTTCACCGCTGTGGGGGTGCGGCAGCTCTTCTCCCTGTCAGCCTTAGCGCAACTGGACGTCTCGGGCTTAGCCACAACGGATGCTAGTCTCAAAGGGATTGGCCTCGGGAAGAGCCTGCACACTCTTATTCTTGACAGCAGCACGATCACAGACGTTGGGATAGCGAGGCTGGAAGGGCTGCGTGCACTTAAGGTGCTGCACCTTGGTGGGTGTGTGCCTGTTATCTCTGCCGGTATGGTTCATGTGGGTAAGTTGACAGGTTTACATGAGCTCGTGCTGCATGTAGGGGGTGTGAGGGAGGATGGGCTGATGCATCTCACTGGCCTCACATCACTGAATTACCTCATTCTGCCTCCCGGAGTGACTGATTCTTGTTTGAAGTACCTGAGGAACATGAAACGCCTGGTGAAGCTGGGGGTGTGGGATGCTAAAATCATTGCACGCGGTGTTAGCTGGCTCAAGGGCCTTCCTTGCCTCCAGAAGCAGAAGATGTAGAAGGGTTTATTCAGGACACTTTCCCGCCAATAGTTGTGACTCCCGTGCCACTCTAGTACTCACCTCATCCTTTATTGGTCATAGGTTCCACCAATAAATCGTTTTCTTCCACTGAGACTATATTTGCGATCAAACATGAGAGTTACTGACTAAACATGTTTACAATTTGTGACATACAGTGTCCCAAGGAGGTTACACTGTATTTTTCAATACTACAGTCATATTTGAGCCGCGTAGGCCAAATCTCCAGTACATCGAGTCCTCGCCAATTTCACGCCCCGTCAGTTATTCCTTCAAGCCAGACTGACCTTTTTTGGCTATAGGTATCAGTCACCTACGAACTAGAGGCTATCCGAGGCATTGTAAGTTTCGATGTTGCCCCATCTGACGTTGAGACCGCAACGCAAAGTCTGAATCTCCCGCTGCGACCATGTATTTTTTTTTTTTTAGTTGCGAAGCAACCTATTACAATCATTATGTACATTTTTTTTTTCATCCTCTATACATAAAAAAATAAAGGATGAAAAAAATATAGTGTCGGTAACTAAGTGACTGACTGCTATGTATTTGCCACGTCAATTTACCACGCGCCGAACCACATTTCTTCTCATTTCCTAGTTTTCCAGAACCTATATTTCATGAGTTGCCAAAATGATGTACTGTGAACGCGTAAGTGTTTATTCCGTGATGCATATGCCCGATGGTGTTATGCGTAGATGAAGTAAATGCAAAATGCATAAATATAATGCATATGCTACTGTGGTAGTGAAATGAATGCATAGCATGATGGAAATGCGTAACAATTAATTGACCCAGACCCTATGCTACCGCATCCCCTGCCTAGCATGGGGGGGAGCTCAATAGCATAGTTCCTGAATCATCCAATTGTCACATGAAACAACACAATCTGTGTGATCTAAAAAAAAGGTCAATTCTATCAAATCCAGTTCGAATGGACACACTCACTGAGTGCGCAAAGAACCTTCTCGGAAATGATAGTTTGATCCCAATTTTTAAAACCCACAGACATGCGTTATTGATGCAATGGAAACATGAATGAAAGCACAAACGCACACAACACAACGCATACACATGATCATACGCATTCACACATACGCGCACGCACGAAGCCAACTGACAAAGCATATTAACCGTAGATGAAATAAAAACCTAAATCACAAAGACAACATGTATCCTATACCGTAAATCACAAGCATTATCAGTCTATTTCTCATATTGAGCTCGACCTGGAGGGTAAGACAAAGCTGGGTTGAGGAAGGGAAGGCAAATGGGAAATAACAAGGCATAATGGGAGAAAAGAGGGCACACGTGCATTATTTAATTATTGTCTTACAACTGATACAACACCAATAAAAAACAAAAATACATGACAATCTGAAAGCAAGAACTTCTGACATCATTCGAATAGAAGTGGAAACAACAGTTAAGTAGCCCCAACGAACCATCAAATACCACAACTACGAGTAGACAGATTACAACAAGAAATACCAATGTAAAACTCTCATCAAGGAGGAACAAACGAGAAGAGAGAATGAATGATATTTTAAGCAGGGAATAAAATGTTGAAGAAACTAAGACTGTGAAAGAACGAACTGAGAAAGAAATGGAAACGAAAAGTAGAGAAAGCGAAAGGAAAACTTAAAGAAGAAGCTTTCACGAGACAATGAAGCAACAACCTTTGAAAAAACGAATGAAGGAAACGCAGGTACTAAATATACGCAACTTGAAAGTCGCGTATATTTCAAATAGGAGGTAAAGACGAAGAGGAAATATAAGCAGGTACGCAGGTACTAAATGTACGCAACGCATGAAGTAAAGAGGACGCACAGATAACCAAAGGAAGAACTAAAAGTGATACTAAATCAGATAACAGAAAAAACGCCGTAGTAGAGAACAGATGACGGTAGGAAACGAATGTAGGAATCGAAAGCGGAAGCAGAAAGCGGAAGAAGAAAACGGAAGCAGCTAACCCTGCGGAGAATAGGCGATTATGGGAGAACCTAGGCGCAGAGTTGTAAAGCGGATGCTAGTAAACCGAATACTGACTTGTGGAAAACCGAATACTGAAGCCAAGGTTGGTATGCAGTAACTGAAGGAACGAAATTGATCAATTGATTATATTGATAGATTACAACAGAAACAACATGAACCTTATAGAGAAACATAGTGACGTGTGCAAGAACGTTCTACGAGAACGTTGTTCATGAAGAACGTTGTTCAAGGAGAACGTGCAAGCA